TCTTGTAAATGCCCACATTACCTACAAAAGAATGAATATGCGACAATCCCTGTTGACTGCGCAAACGATTAAACTGCTGTGGGCATATGTTTCGTTGCCTGGCAACCTAACTTACTTGATGTTATACTGGCCACATACTACATCCAATTTTCGAACGGTATTAAACTTTTAAATTAATAAATGCACCCGTGATGCTGTTTTCTCAGCAGTTATCGATACGTCGACCATGTTTGTTCTCCCTCACACCAGCTATGAGGTAGTGTGGGATTTGAGAACGGGAATGTGTTCGTGAACGCATTCCAGACTGCTCAAGTCCGACAAGAACCCATTCTCCGTCCGTTCTCTGCACCGGAACACTGTTTCGAATACACCCTAGGGGTATTTAGGAAAGGGAGGAAACCGGAGGACCCGGAGAAAACCTACAAGGCTGGACAGGCGACCCTATTCCTAGTCACATTCAAGTGGGGAATCACATAATAATGGCCTATTTCAAATAAGATATTTGCATATAAAGAAAGTAGGCTTACAGCCTCTTTCAAATGTGATATTTGCATATAAAGAAAGTACAAACTTAAATCGTCAGTGCTGGATAAACTAGCCAAAGGATTTGGCTGAATCAATTGGCGCTAAACTTCACCTAGTTTATCCACTGACATACGCCCGAATCAAACATGTTTGATATATTTGGCCGAATTGTATTTGAGTGGTGTGTCCGCTTCGCCGAAGCATTCGTCTGATTTTAGAATTCATTAGCCAATCACCACTCATTCATATCGAGTGGGTATCGCAAACTAGCAGTCGAACTGTGACACGGGTGCTACAGCCAACAAATTCCAACTACCATACTATCGGCTTAAATGCACGCCAATGGGACCTCAGGTTTTGTGTTCCATTGAAACGACTAGAAATGAAATGAAATGGGGTTTAACGTCCTACTGTTTTGCTCCGAACTGGGCTAATGAAGACAGGCATACACCACACAGTGTGCTATGAGGGAAATTTTGCTCGGACAGCGGCGTATCGAATTCCAACTGTCAAGGGATCTTTTACGTGCACGCCAACGTGTACACGGGACCTCGTTTTTTCATTTCATCCGAATGACTAGACAGCTGTCCTTGTCAGGCCCTCCGTCCTGCATCACTGACAAGGGGGAACCACGCCGGGAAATCTGGGTGAACTTTCTCGGCCAATGCAGGGATCGAACACCCGACCTCCAGGCTAGCGAGCCAGCGTCTTACCCACTTAGCCACCATGACGACTAGGCATGGAATCCATGCTGAAAAATTCAAATGAGCTTTCTCGGTCAACACTGGGAGCGAACCCGCAACCTCCCGGGTACCAAGCCAGTGCCTTACACACTAAGCCACATGACTCTCTTCTAATTACTGTGACAGTCCAGTCACATGACAAACAAGGGTTATTAAAACAGATTTTCAAGGCTTGGGTAAGATCTTCGGGATTCAAATGGTTTTAGATATCACACAGTTTGTATATGGTAAGGTATCTTAAACAGTTTATTACATGTCACATATTCATATTTTTCAGTTTCCATATTAGATGCCATAGCAAATCAAAGATCATATAATAAAATAAGTCAAAAAACCCAAATATGGAAAAAGAAAGAGCTGAAGAAATGGTGATTTGAGCACCTGTGCTTTCTCATAGGTGTTTTTGGAGGGTGAGTGTTCAATTCTAATAGAAAGATTGTTGTTATGGTATTTTAGAATCTCACCATAATGTGTTTGGCACAATATATCCCGGTTGGAGCTGTTGTGACATAAACCTCCATTTCATTTTATTGTTTTGAAATTTAAAATTCAGTTTAGTATAGTAAATTTGTACACGTACATGTATGTGCACAAACAGAATCTTACTTATGTCCAGATACATGTAGATATGACTGTCTCATCTGTGGGGGACCACGGTGGCCAAGTGGGTTAGACACTGGCTCGCATATTTTAAGGTCGCGGGTTTGCAGTAAGACATTGCAGTACGTAGGACTGGGCTAATGAAGTTTTTGCCGGGTACCGTGACCTTAAGGCCTTCTCTTGTATCAAATTCTAACTGCCAGGGGATCTTTTACATGCACACCAATGTGTACACGGGACCACGTTTTTTTGTTCAATCTGAATGACTAGACAGCTGTCCTTGTCAGGCCCTCCGTCCTGCATCACTAACAAGAGGAAACCACGCCGGAAAATCTGGGTGAACTTTCTCGGCCAATGCAGGGATCGAACACCCGACCTCCAGGCTAGCGAGCCAGCGTCTTACCCACTTAGCCACCATGACGACTAGACAGGGAATCCATGCTGAAAAATCCAAATGAGCTTTCTCGGTCAACACTGGGAGCGAACCCGCAACCTCCCGGTGCACAGACAGAATCTTACTTATGTCCAGATACATGTAGATATGACTATCTCATCTGTGGTGACCAAGTGGGTTAGACACTGGTTTGCATATTTTAAGGTCGCGGGTTTGCAGTAAGACGATGCAGTACGGGGGGCCTTACAAGGACAGCTGTCTAGTCGTTCAGATTGAACAAAAAAACGTGGTCCCGTGTACACATTGGCGTGCATGTAAAAGAGCCCCTGGCAGTTAGAATTTGATACAAGAGTAGGCCTTAGGGTCACGGTACCCGGCAAAATTTCTCTCGTGGCACACTGTATGGCATATGCCCAACCTCATTAGCCCAGTCGAAGCTGAACAGTAGGACGCCAAACCCCATTTCATTTCATTTTTTTCATTTTGTCTCATCTGTGACAAAGCAAACCAACACATTACAATACAATTTAATTAAATTAAAACTTTCGTCTATTTAAATATTGAATCGATTTAAGTCAACTAAAACATAGTATATTTTTTTTCTCAGTTAACTACATCAGAAAGATCAAGACAGTTGGAAATGGCTATTCATATTATGGAAACTTTTTCTCACAGAGCTTGATAATCAGGTAAAATGTAAGTAACATACATATTTGTATTTTTAATCATCAACTAGTTCTATACACTTGATTGGTAATCTAGTTATTCTTCTTGGGGCAATGCCTAGGACTCTCCTATTCAAGTCTTGGCATTCTTGATTTTTGACAATCACATCCATTGATTTTCTTCAAGTTGTGATAGACCCTATGTGTATTTTTACAGTAAATAGCAGTATAAAAATGGACAATATTTTACTTTTCAAATAGATTTTAATAGGTAATATCCAATTTGTTGTCGATGGAAATAAAATATAATAATCTGCCTGGGTCTGTTACTGGACAAGACACAATAAGTGTTACCCAAAGATGAAACAAAATAGAGACTCAGTCTCGATGTGGCAAAATAAATTGTTTATTTAAACATTGTGAACAATAAATAGTAAGAAAGTATTCTTATTGCCTACTTTTTATTTTTTAGGCTGGAAGATTATTTGATGTATGATAACAACAAGAGATCCCAAGCATCAATTTATTTTATAATTCTGGAAAAGAATGCATTTGACCCAATTTTTGAATATTTTTTTTTTGTTTTTACTGTTAAATATTCATCCCAAACACAATTAGATTTTAATTCTCTACAGAAATTTATGTATAATATAGAATGTAAAGTGACATATAAATCACTTAGAATTTGGTCGGAAATCATAAAGTATTTAATAGGCATAGTCTAGAAACCAAATGTAGATCAAATATACCCAGAATTACAAAAAACCTTGACCTACATTAAGGTGACTTTCCCTTGCTTATGAAATGAAATAGGGTTTAATATCCTACTTTTCTGTGTTATTATGGTGATTCTGCCCTACAACCTACTCTTATATCAAATATTTCATCTGTCAAGGGTTGTTTAAAGGGAACCCAGGAGGGCCGAATGGTTAACACACGCACATTGGATCAGAAGGGTCTGTCATTGAGTCAGATAATTCAATTGTCAAGGGTTCTTTAAAGTAAACGCAGTGGGGGTAGTTTCAATTCTGGGCTTATACCCAATTATCCCTTGCCATGTCCTACACTACTGACGTGTGGGAACTATGTCGGAAAATCCAGTTGAAATAACAAAATTTTTATTAGTATTAGAATTATATCTCTGTTTTTCTGTTAACATTTCAAATGATGTCTATTTATTTTTGATTTGGTGGTGTTAATTTACTTTTTCCTATCATTTTATGAATAAATGATAATTTAACAAATAAAATTATTGTTACCTCATTTATCAAACTTTACAGGTTAAACAGAGCAAAAGGGGTGGGGGGCTGCATGGGAAAGATTGCTAAATTGAGGGAAAATAAAACACAAGTTTTTGTTGGTGGTTATACACAAGTTTTTATGAAACCACACAAGTTTCAGAAATTTCAACACAAGTTTCGACACAAGTATTGTGTAGATTTTCACACAAGTTTCAACACAATTTTGTGTTGTTTGGTAAATTTTAACACAAGTCTTGTGTTGTTTCAACATTTAACACAAGTTTGTGTTGTTTCAACACAAGTTTGTGTTGTTTCAACACAAGTTTTTTTTCAGTGTATGCCACGAAAACAAATTTGACTTTTTGTCATATATTAATATGGAATATATTATAACAGCTGTAGCGTTTGCTTAGTAGAATATTTATTGTTCTGTATCGATTGATACACACGACTAAGTTTTCTGTATGCAATTATTATTATGGAGTAAATCTCTGACACTATACTAGATATGAAATTTAAATAAATTGTGTGTTCAAACTTACATCATTCATACATTTAAAACTAAGCATATACCTTTTCAAACTTTTGACACTGTAATTGTAAAATAATCGGTGGTTGAATTTGCAATCAATGTTTTCTATAACCAGGTAACATAACTGGGACATATCTGGTGCATCTTCTAGTATTCGTTTGTTGATTACCAATAACAGATCGTGAATATTCTTGCACCTTCAAAATCATGCCCAATGTGTGGAATGTTGTTTTCATGCAATTAGGAATTATCTTCGTAGGTATTTACAAGTAATTTTGTGTTATACCTTTTGTATTAAAGACCAGTTTCAGAATGGGTACTGCTAATGGCTTGCTGTGTGTGTAATAGTCTGATGATTGGTTATTCCTATGGTATGGGTGCGTTATTTTTAGAAATGAAGGAATCGCTCAATTCAACTAGAGCTGAAACGGCAACGGTCCAGTCCATAACTATCGGTATTATGAATTGCGGAGGTAATTACATTAACACCTTTTCTATCACCCATAAGGACACGTCGGGTAAATTATGTTAATGGAAATGGAAAAAAACAACATTCTAATGGCATTGTTAGGTCTGCATTGAAAATAAATCTTACCTTTTTCACAAATAAAACCTTCCTGTGTGACATAATAAGCTGATTTAATAGCTTATGCTAGGTTCCCACTATCATGATTGGCGCTACGATTGAAATCGTGGAGTAATCGTGGGAATCCCACCAGGTTTTATCATACATTGAGGTCAGTCGTCGCAATCGTTTTTATTGTATCGAAACATACCAGATCGTGGAATCAATAGATATAAAATCATATCGTAACGCATCGCACGACAGTGAGAATGTATCTTTACCCTTTTCGGAGAGTTTTGTCTTTAAATGATAGTCATTTCGGAGTTAACCGTGATAATTTGTATTTATGCTATTTAGGTCTTATATCTCCACTTATTGCCAGCATCATTGGTATTGGTAACACACTACTAATTGGGACCACTGTCGCATGTTTAGCCATTGTCTGTGGATTCTTTGTAGAAACCATTTCTCTTCTGGTCGTAGTCGTTGGAGTAATTGGAGGTATGTATAATGTTCTGACCTAGAAACACGGGCAGTGCTAATTTATTAAATTACATTTGAAAATTTAAATGAAATGAAATGAAATGGGGTTTAACGTCCTACTGTTCTGCTCCTATACTGGGCTAATGAAGACGGGTATACGCCATACAGTGTGCTATGAGGGAAATTTTCCCCGGGCAGCGGCACTATCGCCTACTCTTATATCGAATTCCAATTGGCAAGGGATCTTTTACGTGCATTCCAATCTATACACGGGACCTCGGTTTTTCGTCTCATCCGAAGGACTAGACAGCTGTTCTTGCCAGGCCCTCCGTTCTGCACCACTGACAAGGGGAAACCACGTCGGAAAATCTCGATGAACTTTCTCGGCCAATGCAGGGATCGAACGCCCGACCTCCAGGCTAGCGAGCCAGCGTCTAACACACCTAGCCACCGTGGCTCCCTTGAAAATTTAAACATTTAAAACATCTGATATTGATCCTCACAGAGGAAAGTGTTTCGCGTAATCAACAAAGGGGTCGAACCAAATACATTGATAACTGGGCAGTTCTTGTAGCACTGGGAAAGTGACAGTGACGAAATTCGTTATTTTATACGATCAAAATAGAATACAATATCAGAGACTCGCATCAATATCCTTGCTGATTATTTTCAATGTTTTTCAGGTCTAGGATTGTGCAATATTTTCATCTGTATGTTTGTTGCAATTGGTAAAATATTCAAGCACAGTTACCAGTCCGCTTTAGCAGCGCTTATCCTTAGCGGTGGTGTTGGGTATTTCGTATTCCCATATATAAATGTTTTAATTTTAAAAAGATATAGCTGGAGGGGCGTATTCCTAATTCACGCAGGGCTTCTCCTTCACTGCATTCCTCTTGCTTTATACATTCGGATTCTTTTGCCAAAAGATACATCTAACCGTAAAGAAAATAAATCATGTTTTAATAATACATATTTTGAATCCCATGTGTCTTTGTGGAAAGATTCTTTACACGTTACATTTTTTATATGTCTCATACTGAGATCCGTGCCATTGGGGTTGGTAACGTATTTTATGCTGGACATAGCAGTTTATAAAAACTTCAGTTCGGTCGATGGGTCCATATTTTTGTCAGCTGTAGGATTTGGAAATATTGTGGGACGTGTTTTGATTCTGTTCACGAGAGGTGTTGTTAAAATATCCCCAGTTATAGAATACGCGTTACACATTATATTCACGGGAATGGCTTTGTTTATTTTTGGGATTGGAAAAGACTTCGGGCTCATAATTGCTTCGTGTACCATATTTGGATTGGGTTATGGACTCTTGACGTCTACAGCAAACATTGCTGTTTTCAATATAGCTGGTGCAAATCGTTATCCTACAGCATTAGGAATATCAAACACTGGTGTGGGAATTGGATTTGGTATAGCTGGTCCAATTGGCGGTAAGTTTGAAGGAATAATTCCAATCTTGGTTTATATAATTTGCCTTAAAGGACAATATTGGTGTCAGTCGTCATTACATATGTGATAGAACTGGTTAAATACATTTCAAATAAAATTTTAACACAGAGATCATTGCTACGGGAGATGTGTAACAAGCACGGGAAGTGACGCCAAACATGACAAACACGAGTTATCCTTCTATGTATCTGACTGATGTAACGAGCGATAACAGACAAACGATTGAATTCCATTTCACTGATAATTCCGTTGAAGTTGAAATTTTATTATATGGTACGGTGAGAGGGTATCTTACAATTCAAAAAAAGAATTGGCTGTCACTAGATAAGGGAAAACAAGAAAAATAGAAAAATTCCGTGCATTCCCTCGTTTTTATTCATTCTGTTCTTAATAAAACATGGTAATGCACGGACTTTTTCTAATTTGTTTGTTATCTTTTATCTAATGACAGCCAATTCTTTTTTGGAATTGTCAGATATCCTCTCACCGTCTCATATAATAGCTTTTCATCTTCAACTGAATTATCAGTGAAATGAAATTCGATCGCGTGTCTGTTACCGCTCGTTGTTTCAATCAGTTATATAGTAGGATAACTCGTGTTTGTCATGTTTGTCGTCACTTCCCGTTTCTTCACGTGCTTGTTACACATCTCCCGTAGCAATGATCTATGTGTTAAAGTTATATTTGGGATGTATTTAACCAGTTCTATCACATATTTTATAATGACTGACACCAGTATTGTCCTTTAATGCATAGATTAGACTAGTCAGCTGAGAGAAACCCGTTAGGATCTTTCTCACGCCGGATTGTTACATTAAAGGATGCACCCGTGCACATAAAGTAGCTTTGAAAATCGAATAAAGAGTTGGCTGAACCGCATCTGTTTTGGCACAATTCTCCCCCTATCATTGCACACGTGGATTAAATATTAATCGTGTTTTAGTTTTATTAATTTTTTAAAAATATTATAGCAAGAACCGCCAGCTCTTAATCTAAATCGCACATAATGCATTTTCCAATATGCTATTTTGGATGGCAACCCCTTCACACTGCAAATAAACACAAGGCTTTTATGTATTGATTTGTATTGTTTTTTTTTTATTTCAGGCGTAATAAAAGATAATGTGGAGTCATATGATCACATACTCTTTAGTTTTGCTATAGTTTGTACTTTAAGTGGACTATGGTTATTGGTTGTGGCCTGTTTCAGCAATAAAAATAACAAGGGAAACAACTAAACGAGGTTGATATTATGGATAAGACAAATCAGATATTCATATAAAAATCTGTTGGATATAAATGTGTGTTAACCTTAGAAGTCTTTGTCCCACCATCCATTCAAACCATGTCAGGGTTGGCACTATTAAACAATGTCAGTCAATCTTCCAAACAGAAATAGAACGAACAGTCAGTGAATACATCACATACAATACAATGGCATGGCCATTTACAACGACGGCATTAATAATAATAGAGAAATAAAGAAACTGAATGTAAAAATGCAGATAATCTGTTGGCGGGCCAGAAGCATCAATATTAAATTAGTCTTTACTGTTTACGTTTACACGACAGGGCGTGGCCTTTCATCTGGCTAATTAAAAGATGCATTGGTCATGATCTATTTTAACAAAGAACAGTGACTAAAACTGCACCACCCAAGGAACAGGTAATGGACAAATTGGTATTTAGCTTTTAAGCATGTAGAGTTGACAAAACATTAAACTGCATACAAATAAACATTAGTTTTTATTTAGATTGTTCTATTAAATTAACATCACTCCATGTACCTTATACCGATCAGGTATCATTTTTATACGCCAACGTGTTCATGTGAACGTATATTGTCGGAGCCCCTATCCGTCCGGACGTCGGAACACATTTTGTTTGTGGACAAACAATTTTTATCTGATTTTGGCGAAATTTGAAATATCCTGTCGATATTGACATGTATCGGGTCGTAACTTCATGGATTATGACCCCTGATTGTGCGAAAAATCGCGCTTTTAGCTTGTGGTCCCTCTACAGCTCACAATCTTTATTTGCTTTTAAAACCCGTTCAAATGTATAACCGTTACACCCTATTGGCGCTTGAGTTCGAATTTCGTGAAAATCGGACCAAACCTTCCCCACAGAATGGCCGCCCCACGCCCGCAAATGGGGTAAAAGTATGTAATACTAAGGTTGTGGGCACCCTAAGAGGTCACAATTAGAATCCGATTTTGATGAAACTTAAGATCTCGAATGTGTTGGCTTTCATATACAATTTCCGAAAAGGCTATACATTTTAACAGATTTATCAAATTTGGCTAGAAATATTGCGATCATATGCGGAGGACAAATCCTATCAATAATCAGCGTTCCGCGACGTTTCGTTCCAGAGTTGGGTTTTTTTTTTGTTTTGTTTTTTGTAAACAATATTTTATTTCATTTGAAAATGGATTGGAGAACAGGCTGGGCCTATGTTGACTCCTCTCCAGAATTTACAAAAATAAGTTTAATTTATGTACATACAGAAGATGTATACAACAAGAACATATAATAATACAAAATATAAAATTATTTGAGATTTAAATATAAACTAAACATTTATACATATATACAGTTGTCCGTTCCATTATATTATATTATATTATATTACTATATATTAATATGGTACCAATGTAGTAGTGCCGCAAACCCCCTTCCCTCCATATAAGACCTATTTAAACGTGAAGTATAATTTGGTATATTAAGTATAAAGTAAATAAATCAATAACAGACAGGATGATTTGGACGTTAGAAACGTTTTGACAATTTTAAGAAATTATGAACAGTGTTAAAAATGAACTAATTTTGATCAACTGAGAGGACAATCTGACCATTCAATAAAATACTTATATCTTGAAATTGCTGCTTTAGTAAACCAATAGTTTGACCTCGGGCACCCGAATGCAAGGAGCATACTAGTAGATAATGATAAAAAATTTCAAAATGGTGACAACACGCGCAGGCGGGGCTATCCGTTAAATGTCTCAAAAACTTATGACCATTTAAATCGCTGCAGCCTAATCTCAGTTTACTATGTATTTTTTGATTTTTTTCTATCTCCAATATAAAAGTACTGTGGAATAACATGGTCGTTTTTAATCAAACTTGAAACAAATGATCGTTCCAGAGATATGCCCCCTTAGCCCATCTTTTCAAAAATGTTGGCGTTTCTTGCGATGGTGTACTAATGGTCATAATGTCGAAATAAATGCTCGTATACCTTTCCAATAGGTATGAGTATGATATACCAGAATGGATAGGAGGTAGAAATTGATGAATTGAAAGATTTTTAAGTGGTTTCATTATTAAGGCTGTCCGTTAACTTTGATGATGTAGGGATGCACTTTGCTAATATAATTCCAACGGAAAGGGATTTGTCTTAATTTTATATAATTTAACGTAATACCTTCGTGACCTCTGAGTTTCATCTTTACACATTGATAGAAAGGCAATTGTTAAGCTTTTAACATCAAAATAAACAAAGTAACCCCTTGACCCATACAGTTGCTCTCACAATGCTATTCCCGTAGATAAACAAACCCTGATAACTATTGCCTAACTTTCGTCTTTTTATTACACAGCCCAAAACTGATAAGACGCTTAAAATGATTACAAACATGGTTTGATTTCCTATAATGAACAGTTCCTATCTTAGACAAGATTAGAAATATTACCTCGCACCTTGTTCATTTGATTTTAATACACCAACAGCACCCTTGTCAGGTAAGTTTGTACAATCATTCGGTACTTACAATAAGTTATATATCAGTTCAGTGGATGTTTTCATTTAATTATTACGTGTACTGATGAAATTTCAACAGTATGGTTGCCGAACAGGGATATCTTTTTTTTTCATCTATTAATAACTAAAATAACCTGGGTCAAAAACAAATGTTTCGTTTCGATGATTTTATAAGGCATCTTTGCTCAAAATCTTTCATACATATATAAAGCAACAACTATATCAACACACTAAGAGCAAAATTAAAACTATAAAACAAACCGATTTCCGTTTAATCCTTCCAGGCAAAATGTATAGTGCTTGATCCAAGGCTTAGTTTTATTTTGACGCAAATAAAAGCGGTTAGGCCCATTGAAAGATATATTATGGGAGATTAGATAAATAGCTGGCAGTTCTCACTATAATAGTTAAAAACTAGATACTGTAAAGGGAATTTGCTGAAAAGTTCATTCAAATTGATCCACTATGAACCGAGATGTGTAGTGATTGGATTTTCGGTCTAGCCTCGATCATCATTACTAAAGTCGGTAGGATAAAAAAAACATAGTCTCGATTATCCATTTCATGATTTAATTATGAATGGAAGTCGAACATCAAATAGGAACCTAATCCAATAAACATCGCAGGCTAGCGATGCCACCGAGAGTTGATTAGGGTCTGGATAAGTTAATTAATGTCTAATTAATAATTTAGATAACATTTCAGGCCTAAAGAAAGATCTGCAATAGGCAGATTTAGCTCTTGCATAATGTATGTTTAATGTAAAGAAATGTTTTAAAACAGTTTGGCTATATATACATCCATTTTAAATGATAAAAATACGTCGGACATTTTGAGACAAATATGGTTACATGTGCAATACATCCGGGGGAGTGGTTGGCGAGGATTTGTCCGGTCATTAGCATACGCCATACATTTGTCCCGTACAGCACCACTACGGCCCACTCTTATTTCGAATTCTAACTGTAAAAGATTCTTTTAAGTATACGGCAACGTGTACACAGACCTTGGTGTTTCGTCTCATCCGAACGACTAGATATGCATATATAATCCGTTTCATTTTAATTATTGTATGTTCATATTATTATTCTATGAATTTTGAACATTCTTATTGTAAATTATAATATACATGTATATGTATCGTATTATCTTATACCAACAATATTTACAAAAATATATTTCATGACCTAGTTTTCCAGTAAATTATTTATTACTAATTAGCTTTCGAAACTGAAGACTATTAAAATAATAATGGCACGTGATCTGAATTTATATCCATTAGCTTGTATTATGGAACTGGAACTATAATATAAGAGGAAATTATAATATGTATATTCTTAATTATGGCATCACACATTTGGCATATTCTGTTAGGTTAATCATATAGCTATGTTACTTCGGTGCTACCTAAATGAAATGAAATGAAATGGGGTTTAACGTCCTACTGTTCTGCTCCTATGCTGGGCTAATGAAGACGGGCATACGCCATACAGTGTGCTATGAGGGAAATTTTGCCCGGGCAGCGGCACTATCGCCTACTCTTATATCGAAATCCAACTGCCAAGGGATCTTTTACGTGCATTCCAATGTATACACGGGACCTCAGTTTTTCGTCTCATCCGAAGGAATAGATAGCTTTCCTTGTCAAGCCCTCCGTCCATCATCACTGACAAGGGGGAACCATGCCGGAAAATCTGGATAAACTTTTCCGGCCAATGCAGGGATCGAACACCCGACCTCCAGGCTAGCGAGCAAGCGTCTAACCCACTTAGCCACCGTGATCCCCCGGTGCTACCTAACTAACTCGTATCATTTAATTTGGCGAATAACAACCTATATGTATTTTATATATAGACATGCAATGATGGAAGCGAGTTGTTCGGAACTTACATGTCGGTTTTGAATGGATTAGAACACCTGCGCCATTTAATAATTTAGCGATAATATTATGGAAAATCATGAGTTTATTGTTTGTCGTAGCAGTAGTTTTTGACAACCGAGACTATTTTGCCCATATTTTGTCAAAACTCCACACACTAACAACTTCGCAAATGAAAAAGGTATTCGACTAAAATGTTCAATAAATTCATTTTCCATTATTTATTGGTAAACTATTATTATAAGAACGGCAAACCTTTTTACTAAATTTTACATAATGCATCTTTAAACCAAATTGGACGATTAGTGATTTTAATCATTACATCACATGTTTGCCCAACCGGGTTTATATGGTAAAGTGTTAGACTTTTTAAAGGAGACAGGATTTTATCATAAATTTTAATTGTATATATATATATATATATATCATTTCATTTTTGTATTTAATATTTATATGCATAAAAGTTGTATTTTATTTTTAATTTTACTAACTGTGATATTGTTTTTATTTATGCATATAATGTTTTTCTGTGATATAATTTAGCCTGTCTTGTAATATTCACCATATGTTTGGCGCAATATAGCCCGGTTGGAGCTGGCGTGCCATAAAACCACATTTCATTTCATTTCATTTAGTGATTTTAAACCATGGAAATGAAAAACTAACCAAACGGAAGAATATTTAAAGCCACTAGACACAAACGATCTAGCAATAACACTACCCGGATATATAGACCGTTTTCACAACGGCTGTCTAGAATGTTTGAGAAACATCCATATCTAGTCTTTCGCAAGAGAGGCCAGAGTTTCTCGGCCTTCATTCAAAGAAATGAAATGAAATGAAATGGGTTTAACGTCCTATTGATTCAAAGAAGCTTTAACTGTTAGGTTACTCTTGTATACAAACGTAACAAGTTCTATATCATGACAAAACACAACACAAGGTATATATGGATGTAACTACTTCTCTATTATTTAATAACGACGTTTCGTAACACATACAGGTCACGTTTTCAAGTTAATGATAAATATCCATCTAGTCAGCCTATTTATAGATATTATACACCAGCTTATATACTATTCAAAAAAAGTAGGGGATATTTGATTTTTAAGTGTTATTAAAGTCACCTAATGAAACTGACGAAGAAACAAATGACAAAATGAAATGAAGTTCACATTCATCGATTTATTCCAAATGATCGTTAGACTAAGTAAGGCACAGACTGACCATTATAAGGGTAAAATGATACCCGGGGTCAAACAGCAAAGTTACCACAGAATCACAACCAAGTCAGTAACGGGTAAATCCTCCTCTGTTTGCCAAACAAGCATTGATCCAACGTGGCATACTCCTAATGGGACGTCTAAGGTCATTTTGGTCCAGATTGTCCCATTCCTGTTGCAACGCTGCAGCAAGTTCTTGGACATTGGCAGGACGTTGTTGACGTTGACGTAACCTCTGTCCAAGCATGTCCCAGACATGCTCGATGGGGGAGAGGTCGGGACTCAGTGCTGGCCAAGGTAATGTGGTGATGTTCTGTTGTTGGAGGTAACCTGTAACGATCCTGGCCCTGTGACATCTTGCGTTGTCATCCTGGAAGATGAAACGGCGGCCATGACGTCGTGCGAACGGCACAACATGGACTGCCAAGATGTTGTCCCGGTAGTACTGGCCTGTAACACGCCCTGCAACAACATGTAAAGCCGTTCTTCCAGCAACAGTGATGCCTCCCCACACCATAACAGAACCACCCCCAAATCATGACGTTAACGTCTTTGAAGCGCTCGTTTCGACGACGCCACACCCTCCTACGTCTGTCCAAAAAATCAACAGTGAACCTTGACTCATCTGAAAACATCACATTGCTCCAGCGTCGATTAACCCAGTGTTGACTATCCCTACACCAATGACGTCTTGCCTGAATGTGATGATCTCTCAAACAAGGGATCACGCGAGGACGTCGGGCGCGAAGGTGACCCCTATGCAGTCGATTCCGAATCGTCTGGCCACTCACTCTCACACCAGTATCTGTTTGAAGACGAGCGCTGATCTGATTTGCTGTGATGACACGATTTCTCAAGGCCAAGGTACGGATAAATCGATCCTGGGCTTGAGTTGTCGCCCTTGGTCGACCTGAGCGTGGTCTGTCCTGTACAGATTGTGTATCACGGTATCTGGACCAAAGCCTGCTTATGACAGACTGAGAAACATTCATCGTCCGCGCCACAACCGCCTGTGTTGTGCCGATCTGTAGCATGCCAAGGGCACGTAACCTTTCATTTTGGGTAAGCCGACGCATATCAAAATTTGTTTTCTGGTCACTAAAACAATTAAACTGATGTTTCCACCCTGGAATTCAATGCCACAATGACTGTAACATTCAAAGTCAGAGTCGTGCAAATCTTGGGTTGGACCCCCATGATGATCCCAAGCATCACCTGCATTCCATGCGGTAGCTATTGGTGCGTTTGGGCGTCACATGTAACTGGAAATGTTTCTTCTGTTAGGTTCTATAGTGACTTTTTTCGTAGTCATTTGCATATTTTAGTATTATGCCCCCAAAATCAAATATCCCCTACTTTTTTTGAATAGTATATCTGCAAGATTTCATTTCACCGTAGTGTGCATCTCACGTCTCTATAGTTTAATGATGTCGAGGAATTTATTTAATTATGTATGCAAGTGGCAAGTTGGGGAAATGGTTTAACGCATGCGCGTTAGTTTAAAATGTCCGTCATTGAGTCGATCAAGGGGCGTGGTTTTGATTCCAGGCTTGTACCTGGCAACGAGTAGGATCGCCTGTTCAATCTCGTGGGTTTTCTCTGGATTCCCCAACAGTTAAGGACCCCTGCGAGCAAGCGAATTATTGAAATAAAATTGAATCATGTGTTAGTCCCGAAATGACCTAGTTTGTGTCGCATTGACTTTACCCCCCCCCCCCTTTCTCTCTTTCTCTTAAGTCCATGTTTAGCTTTTTCATAAAAAAAACCCCAAAAAACTATAATAGATTACCGCGACTTAACATTATGGCAATAATAAATATTATAACTTGGATACGGTTCAGCTATACCCTTCTCTTACTTGTTAACATGTAAAAATGTTAGAACATTAAAATGACATACTCACGTATTATGAACAATATTTAGGCATTCAAGTGGAACCGGACGTGTGTGTCTATTATAGAGTTGAATTGAAGGCGCGGTCGACCGAAGAGTAATCTCTATCTGTAAGATAAGACACGACTAGTGCGTGACTGCTATACACACGGTAAATTAAACCTGAATATATTAATATTAAACTTAAAACGAGACTGTTTACATGCCAAATACAGAATTGATTTTTAATAAAACAGAGGTCGTACTATGCTAAAGTCGTTTTATCAAATTCATACAATGTGACAGGACGCTGAGCAAAGAAAGTTATGGCACAAAAAGAATATGACATGCAACAAAGCGTTGGAAAAGTTGAGGAGGAGATACTGGTTGTGGACAGTAACAATAAGAAAGGTTGTTTGGGGAAGTTCAGAGCAAGGTAGGTGTTTTTACTTTATTCTTTGGTTGGACTGCAGCACAAACAGGTGATATTCTGACAGACAGTGAAATGCTTGTTTATCGACTGCATAATGAAGATTCAATTATTCAGTTTGGGTTAAGGTCAGGTCTTCGTGAATCGGGAGCATGTCGTGTTGAAAAGGCATCAACTCGACCTCTTCCCGACGAGTGACCGTGACGGTACAGGTCGTGCTTGGGTCGTGTTGGGAGCCTAGGCTAGCCAGATCTGTCCGTATCTGAAGAGAAGCGTGTTGACTTTGAGCTGATCGTGTTGGGGTCGTGTACGTCGTGTTGAGGACGTGTTGGATCGTGAGAGAAGCTTCTCCAGTGTTGATAAATACAAAATTTTAAAACATGCATATATTTATTTTATTCCATGTTTAGAATCATAAAATTGAAGTGAACATTTCCTGGTTTAATCTTGCTTCTTCTGAATAAATATCACTGAAATGTAAAAAAAATAGTTTGGTATGATTACTCCTTAAAGGTAATGTGTGGCCGTTTGTTACTGGTGTGAAAGGGTCTTTGTCCCATAACTTATTAATAATCATGCTGTTTTGCCATGGCACTGAACCTGCTGTTGAGTTGCAGTAGTGCATGAGATAGCAACGTTGCTGCTTTGCCTTCTTTGTTTGAACCTGTGATTGACTTTATTGGCTCCATCATACCAACATGTCTCCAGGCACAAAGCATCATTTCATGGTTTCCATCCTCCTCAGTAAGTTGTGGGGGCATATACATGCTCCAACGATGATTCTAGCAGTTTCTGGGGCATGTTGCATGGTAGTTAATAGGATTCCCCAACATTGCGCCATGATCCCAAATGCATTTTCAACAATGCGCCTCCCTCTGGAAATCCTGTAGTTGAATATTGTGTGCTTTTGTGTCATACGATATGGTGTAAAGCATAAGGTTTCATCAACCATGTATGCAGAGCGAATGTATCGTCTCCCAGTATGAAATATGGTGTATCTTTGTCGTCATTGGGGAGTTTGTCGGGTGGTGGTAAGGTTGTGTGCCCAGTTTTAAGGCAGTCTTCCAGCTCTGATTGCTCGACAGCTGGGCATCGGAATTGTGCCCCATACCACTTACTTCAGCTCAGATGTCGTATTATGGAACAATCGAAGTAATAGCCTATAAATTTTAAGGGCTACCAAGCCTGCTATCGAACTCGAGACCAATTGAGTTTTATAGTCCATTGTATTTGTTGGAACGATCGAAATAATAGCCTATACACAATTTAAGGGCTACCAAGCCAGCTATCGAACTTGAGGCCAATTAAATTTGAAGGTCCTTGTATTTGTTAAAGGATGTATGCATAAATAATTACTTGGGCTATAGAGGCGATTTCTGTAATTCTCATAGTTGTCTCATAAACTACAAGGCACATGACCGTTTTATTCAAATTTCGTCCAGAGACATTACTGCGCATATTGAAATAACAAATATTATATATTTTTTTTTTACAAAACAGATCTGCTTCAGAATGGATACTTCTTATGGGATGCTGTGTATGCCATGGTCTGATGATAGGATATACCTATGGAATGGGTTCATTATTTCTGGAAATCAAAGATTCGTTTGGGGCGAGTAGAGCCGAAACTGCAATGGTCCAGTCCATAACTATCGGACTTATGTGTTGTGGCGGTATGTGATTTCCATGTCATAAGAGAAAAGTGATAGTACGACGGTCCGTATATAATAAATCTGTTTCGCGGACCGTATGGTCGAACATCGACCTCGTAGTATTAATTAAAACGTATGTACCTTGGCAAACGTATAATGTTCTCAAATATGACTAGAAAAATATTGTCCCTCCAATTTGATTTTTATTACCCCCAGAGTTATTGCCAATGATCCACTTGAATCTTGTGGAAGCTCTTGAGGCTAAAGTTAATATCCGATTGCGTTAAAAGTCCTGAGACGAAGAAGCCTGTTGACTTTCAACGATTTCCGAAAATTATATGACAGATTTATGACCCTTAACTTCTTTGAGAAATGTTTTTCACGCCCTAACGTTGCCATCTGATTGACCTTAAATTTATAGACAGTGTTTAAGATCCTGAGACGGCGAATCCTATTGAATTTTAACAAATTCCTATAAATGGCCCTTGATCACTTTAAAAAAATTTCTGTGGGCGCACTCAAGATCAATTTATCACCTGATTGACTTTAAATATATACACAGCGTTAAAGGTCTTGGAACAACGAGTCTGTTTTTTTTTAACGATTTCCGGTAACTTAAACAGCTAAATTCGTGGTATTAAATGTTCTGTATTCTGAACGTAGCATATGGCAGAACTAGAAGCCAAATAAAATCTGATGATTTCTGATAATTACTTAATGGGTTTGTAGTCCTAATCAGATTTTGGTGTGTTGTAAAAGTTTTCATTACCGAACAAGGAAAAAATATGCGACAACTATGACGGCAATGAAGACTTAACTGCCGTGGGCGTATGTTTGTTGCCTGGCAACCTATCTTTCTTTTTCATTTCAATTATTACTACTTTACGTTTATTCTAGGACTCCTATCGCCACTTCTTGTGAGTATAATTGGAAACGGTAACACAATGTTAATTGGAACAACCATAGCATGTTCAGCTATTATTGGTGGTGGATTGTTAGTGGAATCCATTTCGCTTCTTATTATAATCGTTGGTGCTATTGGAGGTTTGTTAGATACGTTTGCAATTTCTGAATCTGATAAGGGTTTAATGTACATGTACACTGAAAGGAAAACCTCCTTATTTGAGAAACTTTAAATCTTACCTTTGTATTTTTCTCATCTGGGTCATATGACTGGTGACAATTATAGCATATAGTCACGATAAATAATTATTTTCAGAATATAAGAAGACATAATGAATCTTATATTTACCAACTACCCCGTATTAATTTATCGGAACAAGAATACTCCGAAACGACTGTTGCATGGAAAGCATGAATTGATATATTTTGGCTTTTCAATATGTGAGATTTTTCTCGTCGTGTAATCACTGTATATTTCACGGATTTGCGAATGCGTTTACTGGTCTGTTTACAGTTTGTCATCAGTAAAACCAGGAACAGATTGAATGAATAAAACACAGAGATGAACAGTGTCATCGCTTAAGAGTCCTCTCTTTGGGGAATGACCTACCCCCAGAAGGTTCAACTCTCGCATTAGTCATACTTTTTTCCCACAGAGGCTACATTGTTTATCTGATTCTTTTCAGTAAAGCGATGTGGTCATACGAGGTCTTCCTAATAGTTAAATAAAGTATTTGATAATAATCGACTATGTGTAAATATAATTTCAGGTTTGGGGTTGTGTAACATTTTCATCGGAATGTTTGTTTCAGTTGGGAAAATATTTAAAGAGGACTATCGTGTCGCTTTGGCGGCACTCATTCTTAGTGCTGGTGTGGGGAACTTTATATTTCCGTATATGAATGTGTTGATTTTAGAACAATATAATTGGAGAGGTGTATTCTTGATAAACGGGGGACTTCTTCTTCATACCATTCCTCTTGCCTTATTCATTCGGATCATACTACCAAAGGAAAAACCAGATCAAACTGAATCGAAGAAATGTTTTAGTAATTCGTACTTCCGATCCCACGTGTCTTTATGGAAGGATCGATTACACGTGACGTATTTTATATGTCTAATTATCAGATCTGTACCTTTAGCATTGATCAATTATTTTATGTTGGATATAGCTGTTTATAAAAACTTTGACGAAATTGATGGATCATTATTCCTATCAGCTGTGGGTTTCGGGAATATGTTCGGAAGAGTGGCTGTTCTTATCTCAAGAAATATCATTAACATATCACCGGTTATTGAATACGCTTTACATATTACATTCACTGGTTTGACTGTATTTCTTCTAGGACTTAGCAACAGCTATGGTCTTATTATTGCGTCTTGTACCATATTTGGATTAGGGTTTGGACTGTTGACGTCTACAGTGAATATTGCTGTTTTTGCTATTGCTGGGGAAGATCGGTATCCTACAGCATTAGGTATAACCAATACTGGTGTTGGTATTGGCTTTGGTATAGCAGGTCCGATAGGAGGTAAGTGAAGTATAAATTGAGCAAAATATAATATAAGGTGTTTGACAAGTATTAAGTACTAAGTATTAGGTCTTGGTTTTGTGAGGAAATGATTAAATACGTCACATGATTTTGCAACGATTACTTCTGTACACGGTTAACAATAAGAAGAATGTCATTAGTGAGGTATGAAGGTTTTAAAGAAATAAATTCTACATGTGAAAAACACATTAATAGGATGTTTAATCTCCATTAACAATTTAAAAAAATATATTTATACGAATGTGCATTTACCATTGTCTTTCTAAACCGAGATCCTCGGTGGCCCAGTGAGTGAGACGTTGGTTCGATAACCCGGAAGTCCCGTGTTCGATGCGTGTACATAAAGGAACCCTTGGTAGTTGGAATTCAATATAATAGTTGCCGTAGTACCGTTGTCCGGGCACATTTTCCCTCGCAGCACACTATATGACGTATGCCCGTTTTCGTTAGCCCAATTGATGCCGGACAGTAGGATGTTAAACCCCATTTCATTTAATTTCGTTCCGAACTACTTTTGTGAGATTTACGTAGTATTATTTTGGACGGAATCCATCATAAACTGCTGTTTAATGGTGAAAAATACTATCGCAATGTATATGTATATGTACTTAGCTAGTACTTACACCATTGTGATTGTATTTATATATAACCTATATTTATTATTTTTTTAGGTGTCATTAAAGATAATGTAGAGTCGTATGATCATATATTGTTTGTTTTTGCCGCAATCTGCACCTTAAGTGGCATTTGGTTATTGGTCGTGGCCATATTTAGTATCGGAAAAAACAAACAAAAAACTGCCAAATAACGCTTCGGATTTGTTCATAACTGTATCTTTATTTTAAGAAAATTAAATACATTTGTTTCTTCTCTTTGTGTTCTCATCTATCAAGTCTCGTTTAAATTGTGATAAATTCTCAATGATGCATTTATTCAAGAGCTAAATCTGTCCATTGTAGTCTTTCTTTAGACTTTAAAATGTTATATAAATTATTAATTAGGCATTTAACATGACAAGACCATAGGCCATCGGATGGACGCAGTTTTAAGTAGATTAGAATTGTTCGGTCATTTAATGATTGAATTTAAAATTGGAGTAGCGAGGCTAAGTCTCGAATACCAAGTACACATCTTGTCAAAACTTCAAACAGTGATAACTTCGCACAGAAGACAGAAATTTAAATGAAATTTTCAATATATTCATTTTGCGTTATCTATTTTCGAACTATTATAGCAAGAACGTCCAACTTTTTATCCAAATCTTACATAATGCATCTATAAATCCGGTGCAAATATCGTAATAAAATGGAATGGGGTCTTACTTTTCTGCTCCGACTGGGCTAATGAAGACGAGTATATGCCATCCAGTGTGCTGTGAAGATAACTTTGTCCAGACAGGGTTGTACGTGACAAGAAGTAGGGTCGCCTGTCCAACCTCGTGGGTTTTCTCGGGGTCCTCCGGTTTCCTCCCACTGCTGAAGACTCCTTCGTGCAAGCGAATTATTGAAATAAAATTGTACCATATGTTAGTCACGAAATGACCTGGTTTGTGTCGAGTGGATGTTACCCCCCCCTCCCTCTCTCTCTCTCTCTCTGAAAGTTGGACTGGAGGGGGGTTCGTGTCAGGGGTCGTAGAGCGGCTTTTGACCCTATGACGTCAGTCATTTATAAATCAATGAGCGTTGACGTTTCTAGTGGTTTACCAACAGTTTCGTGCATGACACGCCAATAAGTCGCCGTAACAGACCGTTTCATTGGGTAATCCCTCACTTCAACCAAAACGCAGTAATATAACCACGCTTCCAGATCCTAGTGTAGTGAAGACATATAAAACGAAATGTTGAACTATAGGAAACAAAACAAAATAGATTCTGAAAATCCAGATGAACTTCTCGGTTAACACTGGGATAGAACACGAGGCCTTGTCTTACTCACTGGGCTTACTCACGTCGTGCTCCCCCTTGCCGATATTGCTAAAGGGGCAAACCAGCTGAAGGGACATAACTCCATGAAATTAGAGACAGGCTATATACCATTAATTTTCACATTGACTTTAATGGTAATCCTGGAGTCTTTGCCCTGCTCTAACTTATTACTAGATTTTAATGTCCGCTGCGCTGAACCCGTTCCACCACAGACGGGACAACAAGTAGCCTTGTCTTTGCACCAAAGTTGGTCTCTGCAAATTTTAGAAACACACTTGAATTAGCATATTATAAACATTCAACTATCCTCCGTATATATCACCGTAAACAACATCTTAGCACAGTTATCCTCCCGCCTCGAAGCCATGAATATTTACCAAAATCTGGCCGAGAATGTCAATTCAACACCTATCTGATTGTAGACCAAGTTATACCAAGCCAAATGGTCATGGAAAAAGGGGGAAATGGGACAGGATAAAAAGCTGTAGCCCATATCGCATTTAAAGGGTTTACTGAAAAGGTGAGTGGGGGTAATCTCGGAACGGACGGTCGCAGAACGCAGAAAATTTACCAGGTTCTTTCTCTATTCCCGCCTAACCACTTGAATGTGGCCGTATAAGAATAATTTTGTTCCTCATTATATTATAAACGTTGTTGTTATTAAAGGGCATGGCACACAAGATTTTCTCGAAATAGGATCTGTCAAATATTTGTGTCCTACTTTCTAAACAAACCCGGCTAATAAAGACATGAAATGTAATGGGGTTTAACGTCCTACTCCGACTGGGCTAATGAAGATGGGTATACGCCATACAATATGCTATGAATGAAATTTTGCCCGGACAGCGGCGCTGAGACCTACCCTTTTATCGAATTCCAACTGCCAAGGGATCTTTTAGGTGCACGCCAATGTATACACGGGAGCTAATGAAGACGGGGTCACCTGATATCTTTCTATTATTGTGAATTATTAATTAAAATATGGATTGATAAAAAACACTTGTATTTTATTATTAATCAACCTAATAAAGGAGTCTGTGTTTAAAACATTTCAAACATCATATATAATGAAGGGACAAAAGCAATATCACCACAAACCAAACTGAACAAAAGGCCCAACGTTACACATTGTAACGCTATCTTAGTGATAACAGAGATCAGTTTAGTAGATATATGATTTATTTACATCAGGGTCCGTATTCGAAGGATATCTTAAGTCTAAGATAGTCACTTAACTACTAGCTTTCACTTAAAGGAGCTAAATCGCTAATATTTGGTACCTAACAATTGACACAAATGGGTCCCAACGCATTTAATAATGTAATATGAATGTGTATATACACTGATTTACATTCAGTCGTTTCCGTTCTTACTCTAATTTCCAATCAGTTATGTTCGGCTAAATACGCCAGAAGTCTCAATCGAATGGCAACCTCTAGCGTCTGGTTATTCTCTACACCGAGAATATTTATTGCGCATGCTCTTCAGAATAAGAATATAGTGTCATCGTTTGACATCACTTGTGGAATATGTCTAGCCTCGTCTCGTTCTTCGAGCCCCTTGTTACCAATGGCGCTGAAACGCATTAAGGTACACGATTCGTGTACCAATGGTAAAATGTTTATTTTGTCTTAAATATTGGATATCAGAAGCCCATATTTTCCCGGTAAGATCACAACATCAATGTTGATTTAAATTGACAAATAATTCGTGTTTTCAATTTCGAAGACTTTGGATGATATTGAGTTAGAGACTGGGCTACTTTAAATATACGTAACTTCCTGTAAGCTAAGGGCAAGTGGTATTCAAAGGCACTGTTAAGTATCAAATTTTCCCTTAAAGTTAAGCTGCCTTAACTTTCAAGTGTTAGTTTTTAAGTGGTATTCAAAGGCCAGTTTAAGTGAGAAATATCCACTTAACTTTAAGTGACCTATGGGAGGTACCTTAAAGTTAAGTGAGATTATAATGAGTTATTTTAACGCTGTAGTAGCAGTCCCGTAATGGCGATTTTAAAAGTTCAGGGATTCAGATTGAAACAAAGACAGTGTCGCCGAGCGTAGCTGGTCTCATTTTTTCCTCGTCAGCTTTGATGCTGTAGTGCCATAATGGAGTATAAGGTTATTACCACCGAGATAGTCAAGGATATCATTTTACGATCATTTATCATGTTCGTATTGCTTAAGCATGTTTCCACGACTGTCATATAATAAAGTTAAATTCATTCGTGAATTATAGATTTCAGAAATTATTTATACTACCGCTAGGAGCAAGGCATGATTTATTTTTTACAAACCATTCCCATATATACATAATCGGTAGTATTTATTTAGGTAAAAAAAATAATGCAACATGCATCTTTCGTACACAAAATGTACCGTCAACGCCAGGCCTTTGCAAATCTAAAAAGTAGGTACTTACACAATGTCTATGAATTTCTCAAATGATAGATTTATAAACAACACTGAATGATTTGTCCAGTCTAACTTAGAAGGCAAGGGTCATTGTGTATTGCTAATATGTTGTTTTCTATTATTTATATTTTGTTAAAAAATTAAAGTTTACAATATCCATCATTATACTACCACTATTTTTATTGTAATCTATTGATATGGAATTTTTTTTTTAAAAAAAAGTCTACGAAAACAGCCGTTCCGACAAAGGATGCACACTATGTTACATAGAATATAACATAATGTGTTCGGCAATCGTAATACATGCATGGCTTTATAACAAAAAGCGAAAAAGAAATAGGCTGATCGACATACATGTGACTATTTGAGCTCACTAAAGGCTTGGGTTGCGTTATATAGTTCTGCAGACAGTGGTTGTGAGTTCATTGCATGTATAGGATTATTTGTTCACATGTCACAATAGTTTGTTAACAAACTCCACGGAAGATAATAGGAACAACGGTAATCACAAATGGCTAAAACGAGTAAGCCTGAAATAGAGCATTTATTCATTAATGGGGAGGAATAAGCAAATGTCGATGTTAATAATGGATGCCCGTTGAAGTCAAGGTAAGATTTATTACTTTGCACGTGAGTCAATGACACCAAATAACTTTACTTCACTCACACTTATATTATACAAAACCACTATTATACTTCAAACAAGTGTCAAATGTTCATGTCCAAGATGCAAAAAGAACCCGACCCCTCTGGTCAGAGCAAATTCATTGAACCAAGGTCAAAGTATGGGCCTGTTGAAATGTATGGATGTCCTTTTATTAGGATAGACATTCATTATACTTTCGCACAAGTGCCAAAAAGTTTCGTAACTCAAGGGAGTAAATTTGGAAATTATTTTTTTTTAAATAATATTTTTGTATCGATAGACAAATAGGGGCAGCGTCAATATACGACCACATAAAAACTATATTTTTTTCGGGGTGGGAGGGGGGGATACTGAACTAATAAATGAAAATTGTTATTGGGGGCTATCTGAAAACGCTGCACCGGATCTTTAAGCTCTAGATTATGGATATTGCTTATGTCAAGATGGAACGTGTATATATATTACGTGATATTAGGTGTATTCATATCACACATTAACATAGTATTATATTCTTTCACGCGTAAATAGCAAATATGCTTAAATGCATTATCCGTAATAAATAAAATGAAATGAATAGCTGTTGTTCACAGCAGGTAAGTAATTTATCGGCTTTGCAGTGCTGCATATTTTATAGTTTAATTTGATGCATAAGTTTTAACGATTTACTGTCCGTGTACATTATATAGTGTCGCTTTACGCATGTCCATTAATGGATTATGATTAGTTTGTAAGGCGAGAACACCCCCCACTGTGTCTGCTTCTATTGTGAAGTGCAGTCAGGTGTAGTAATCAATTCACCAAACCCCTCAATATAAGGAATCTTATTATGTTAAAATTAATTTATTAGGTACTTATGTTTATTTCTGACCCGTGTCGCTAGGTAGGGCTACGTTATTGTTAAAGATGAATTTTGTAAGATTTAGATAAAGATTTGGTCGTGATTGCTATAATAGTTCCAAAATAGATAGTGGAAAATGAATTTATTGAAAATATGAGTCACCTTACTCTATTATGAGCGACATTATGAGTGATTTGACGAGATCGTACATTGCTACGGTAATAAACAATGTCTTGTGTTATCCATTCAATGTTACGGCCACCCGGCACTCTAGATAAATGATTATGGGTTTTTCTTGTGAATAAATGCCTATTAATAATGTATATAACATTTGAGGCCAGAAAAGGGACTTGCATTCGGCAGATTTCGGACTTACATATACGGTTTTCTCACATTAACGATATATAAAATAGATGTAGTATATAGTGTAACCCATTATCAGCACAGCATTGTTCAAATAGAGTCTGACGATATTAAAAAATATTTCTACGCGATACTGAATAAATAAATCAAGCTATAAAGCCTTGAAACTGCTTGGATGGTCATTTTTAGTTTCATAGGCGACTATATATAAACTTATCTTTCCAACTGAATGGGTTTTACCAAATTCGATACATTTTTGACTCGATAGTTTTTCTATAGATCAAGGTGGTCTTGTTAGTGACGAAAAATAATTTTGAGCCAGGGGTGACCAGATAACAATTATTTTGACAGCAGTTAGTTTTAGGGTGGGGTACTTTGCATGAACAATTAAAATATACTTGAATTTATCACATTACGCGAACTAATCACATTGACCCATGTGGTAGTTTAGATGTCAAAAGGTTATTGCTGGAAAAGGTCAGGCCAATAAATTCAGTTGATTTAAATTTTCTAAAGTGACAACGCGACGGTTTTTTATACATCAAATGTATCTACCGTGTTATCTAGTGATTCAGTAGTTTAAGTTTTCACTGGATCAGTGTATACAAGAGTTATCTTTTCAATTGTAGGGCAATAGCCTATCCGTGGCCATGTCTGTAAGTTACAGCAAGAAATATTAAGGCGTTTCAAAGTGATCAGCAAAATGTTTTACATGCGTAGCGTAACATTTATCGAGTTGGAAACCACATGCGTAATGTAACCTTTATCGAGTTGGAAACCACCTGCGTAACGTAACCTTTATCGAGTTTCTCAGTCTGGTATTCCCTGTCAGTGACCACTGTGCATTAGTTTGTGTTTCGACAGCCTTGTGCATATTGCCGCACAACTGGAAGTTGGTATACCACTTGGCGTTGGATAGTTGCTTAAAGGATCACAAGATAGGGTTCTATCAGTCGTCCACAGAGTTTTTAGTTCTATGCCCTATCCCGAATTTCTCCTTTAAAATAGCATGCCTTGCGAAATGTTACAATATATTATTACTATGCTCAAATTTGTTATATGAAGCTAAAGTAAATGAAACTGGGCAATGGTTTGCTAGTTCGGCGTCGATCATATTGTTAAATACTGGGATGGGTTTTGAATACGGTGTTCTGGGTTTAATGGGGCATAGAAGATCACGCTCAGTGCTGAGACACTATTGTATTACGTTATGACTTTAGGATACATGCATTACGTTGTTTTGGGCTTCTTCTTCAGTTTGGGTCCAGAATTAAATATGTGAACCATTTATAAGCGTCTATCAACACTTGGGTGCACCATTTACTGTTATCTTGTACGCTTACGTCGTTGATAATAAAACATTAATAAAGTCCCAGCCATGCAATCATGTCAGTGAATTTAACAGACTAGTGTTACATAGGGTTTATGGTAGTTGAGTGAGACTAATCACATCACTACTTGAAACAATACATCATATACTTTGTTTTATCCGAAACATATACATCGTCTTACATCTGGGCTGTCCCGAGGTGCCTGGAGAATTAAATGTCCCATGCGGTACTATTATTAACAAATAGCCCTCGTTGACATATCTCTTTATTATCCTAGCCTCTTTATCAAAATAGCTAATCTCACAACCAGGGGTTAAATAAGATAGCGGTCAAATGGACATCTCGCCCAATGTCGTTCGATATCATTTTGGCAACTTACTGGGACATTAGGGACCATTTGTGTGTGATTGTGTTTAATGTGGCAGCTGACGTTTTATGATTTTAGATTTAGGACAATACTCATGTAATTCTGTAGCTGCGCTTATTTTGAAAGTTACCGTGAAATACAGAAGTACAACAAATATGTGTTACAGAGAACAACTTGAGCACACTAAAAGGGCTATACAATAGAAAGACATATTATTATGACTTTTGTGTATATACCAGTAAAAAAGGCTCGGGCTTGATCACATTACTCTAAAGTAAGTGGATTATGATTTTTTTTATAGAGAATATAACATAACGTTCTCGGCAACCGAATTGTTGTAACGAAACTGCTATAGAGGGTTCCGCGAATGTTTCTAATTTTAGTAACATTTCCCACAATTCCTCGCGCGCGACCATTCTGGTAGACTGCTTGCTAAACAAATACTATCAATGACGTAATTGAACACTATACATATATAATAGCACCCACGTTCTATGTTTGGCCATTCTTCTAGTTTGCTTTGTTTGAAGGAAAGTTTTTTTTGCCAGAATTCTGTTTTACAATGGAGAAGTATTTTGAAACTTTAGATGTTGTTGCACGAATAAGATATCTAGAGAAGATAGAACGAATTGGAAACCAAGGTCCGTATTTAATAAGCAAGGAAAAATTCGTCTGCAATCCTAAGAAGTTAAGATGATAGACATTTTAAATTATTTAGTTTATCACCTCAGCCCATTTTATGTGTTGAAATACTTTGAAAATTATAAAAGTTTGAAAGCTTACGATAGATTTGTTTGTGGATGGGTAAGAGAGGTTTTGGTATTTAATTACAAAGAAATTCCGAATAAGGATGATGCAAAAGCAAGCTGTAGTACCAGTACTTTTACTCCCAATTCTTCCAGGGTGAATTTATGTATTGTTAAAGCTAGAGTGTTACACTCTCAGTCTTTAAATGATAAATCTCTGGCACCCTGGGTCATCATTGAAGAAGATGGAAAAAATTTGTCTGCTCACCGTGATTGTAGGGCAGGGTTAGGTGAATTTTGTTTCCATGTGGCGTCGGTATTATTCTACCTTGAAGCCAGTGTACGGATAAGAGAAACGACAGTTACTGCAGAGCCGGCATACTGCATGCTTCCAGCATCTCGAACTGGTGTTAGTTACGAACCGATTCGAAGTATTGATTTTACGTCAACCAAACATTGAAGAAAAGAATCGACAAAACAATTGATGAGCAAACAGTTCCTCCCACCCCTTCATCTAAAATGAAAACAGGCAATAAAATATTCAATGCCTTGAGCAGCAAAGCTTGGGATGCCTTTTTTAGGGCTATTGAGGGGGATAAACCGGTTTTTTTGTCAGTTAAAGAAGATTTTAACAACCAGTTTATTCCAGAAACACTTCAGCCAAAGTATCCGATGATCCTGTCGAATTTGTATGATGATACCATGGTATATACATTAAAAGAAGTCTTGCTGTCTAATTGCAAACAGCTCAAATCAATTATTTTGATTACCGATGAAGATATTACAAATGTCGAGTATCACAAACGCAGACAAGCCGACAGTAAACTCTGGTACAGGTTCGGGGCAGGAAGAGTAACAGCTTCACGTATGAAGGCGGTGTGCTCCACTTCTTGCGAAAATCCATCCATGAGTTTACTGAAGCCAATTTCTCTACAGCAGCTACACAGTGGGGATATTCTCATGAACAGGAGGCAAGGAAACAGTATCATTCCAAGTTGGGAAAACTTCATGATACTTTTCAACTGTCAGATAGTGGTCTTTTCCTGAACTCTGAACACCCACACTTGGTAGCTTCCCCAGATGGTATAGTGGAGTGTAGTTGTTGTCGGAAGGGTTGTGTAGAAGTCAAGTGTCTTTGCTGCATTAGAAAAGAAAAAAATCAGAGATGGGAAAGATTCCTGTATGAAGAAAGTAGATAATTTATTGCAACTAAAACATGATCACCAATACTACTACCAAATTCAGACTCAACTTCTTGTTTGTAATTTGGACTACTGCGACTTTGTGATCTAGACAGAGAATGATATATTCATTGAAAGAATTGAGCCAGATGCAGAATTTTGGGGTGTGTTACTCGATAAATCTTCAAAGTTATTTGAAACTGTTATTTTGCCCGAGTTGGTACTAAAATATTTTAGTCAAGATAACAAAGAACATAAAAACAATTTAACCCTCTAATAACATGGTGCTAACAGAATTAAAACACTTTGAAGGAAATAAACCCAAAAAGAATCCCAAAAAATTCAACCTACCAAACCAGAACTTTCGCCAGCTGAAAATGTTTCCTCGGATGAAGAAAAAAGAGACCTCTACTGTATATGTAATGGTATACCTCATAAACCCAAGATGCACTGATGAGCCCTGGGTGGGCGAAACATGTTTTTTAAAGTTACATTATAACAATTAGTCATAACGTTTGACATTCTTTCTATTATTGTTTAAAAATAGATAATGCAATGTAAATGGTACTGTTCTGACACATATATCAGGGTTTTCAATTTAGTCTTTGTATGATTTAATCAAATGGTACAACAGATGGACAGAGATTTGTGAGTGCACAGCAGACAAAAACTATCTTATCAAGTAATGGACATGGTTCATCTATTTTTGTAATTAAAAAATCTATTGGAATTGAACTTCCAAGAAAAGTGTATTTTTGACGTACAATAACCCACGTGAATCCGTACGTTTGCAATCTTTCACGTGGACTCCACTTCAGAAGCGCTTAACTGTTTTTTGCCCCTCATAAATGCTGGGTAAATGACTTCAGCTCCAACTGTTGCCACAAGTTCTTTAATTTCAAAACCTCTGTCAGCTAGCAAAACATCACCATTATGCAAATAATTAAAAAAATTAGAATTAGCTGTGAGGTGTTTATCACTAACTCTTCCTCCCCAGCCTTCAGAATTAAAAGTCACATATCCATGTGTGGAAATTGCAATTAAATATTTTACAGTATTGTTATGTTTATAACTGGAGAATGTTTGCACATGTGCCGTCATATTAGAAGGTCTGTCGATAAATATTTCGAAACAATCAATTATGGCTGTTATTTTTCTTCCAAAGTACTTCCTAAAAACCATAGGCATGGTTTCATACAGCTCACCTCTATCGGGCCATCTCACTAATGACTGCAAGTGAAAAAACATCATATCTACCATTTCTATAAATACTTTAGAAACCGTGGTCTTCGAAACATCAAATCTATAACTTGAAATCAGTTATTGATAAACACAGTCTTAGTCAGTTTTTGAAATTTACGAAGTCTGGCGTTTTTGCCATCGGCTATCTCTGGTGAGAGTAAATTAAAAAGTGAAATGAATGTTAAATACGTGGGCAGACCCGTATAATACTTCACTTTATCATCATCATTTTCAAAATCCTCTGGCTTACTGGCTCTCATTTTATGAATTATTTTTTTAAACATATTTTCTTCTTCCGAACGTGTAATATTGGTTTGCATTTTTTTTTATTTCATGATTAGCTAACTCTAATTGATCTAAATGTGTCAGTTCTTCTTCAATTATATTGTCTGGATCTACATCTGGATCTGTACATAATATACTGTTATATGCATGGCAGCATCTTGCATATGTTTCCTATCGATTCTCTTCTGCAGTCTGTCATATATATCTGAACCATATGCACCCTTACACTGGTATCCCAAATTCTGAGTATTGACCCAGTTTGGATTTGTCTCTCTATATAATTCTGATGGTTTTCCTAAAAAACAAAATAAATAAAACATTTTTAGAACCGAATAAAGAGAAAAAACATAATGAAAATGGGGCTGTGTATCTGTAGACTTGGTGGACGTGTTGCTTTCCTCCAGGACAGAATGACTTGATCACTGTTAATGGCCACACATAAAATCACATTATATTTTTAATTCAGAGAAGGCTAAATACTATATACAATTTAAATAATATATCAACTAACCTGATATGAAGTGATCCGAGCAAACTCTGAGCTGGCCACACGTCTTCAAGTTTATATCTGTGCGCTTGATAGCCGCAAGCCATAACCTTCGGCGTTTCTCGCTTTTGCTTTGTGTTTCTTCTCCTTGGTGTTTTAACACACAGGGGATTCGATAAAAGCTTTTGTTATCTCTTCCGGACCTACTATTTCAATTGATAACCGCACAGGTAGTTGGCATTGTTTGGGTTGATCGGCCGTAACGCTCTCTATACAAATACAATATTCAAGTCAATAGACCGCACGAAAGCTTCCCTTTGTTTACATTTACAGTCTACCGCAATTGAGGCTTTTTTTTTTTTTTTTTTTTTTATTAAATATAGTTTATTTATAAAATTCATATAATTACATTCAGTTATGCATAATTATATTAACAATGCAATAGATAATTTATAATTTAATACAGTAGAATTATTTATTTATTTACAATTGTTATATACAAAGTCAATATGAGATGATATATACAAACGGTAGAGGCTCGCTATCAATTGTGGGTAATTCTTAAAGTCGCGGAACCCTCTATAATAGAAATAGACATTCGTGAATGCGTATTACCTTACCTCGAACGAAAATATGGCTGACATACCGGTAATTGTTTGAGCTCACCACTAAAAGCTTGGATTACGTCATATTGCAATGACAAAAGTGATCTTGAATTCCTTTCAGACGTAGGATTAATTGGAGAGATTGTTTGTAAACAAATGCCGGCAGCTTGAAAAGTAATCAACACTTGTCAGAAAATGGAGAACGCGAGTAGATCTGAAATAGAGCGCGTATTCATTAACAAGGAGGAAGAAGCATTGGTCGTCGTAAATAATGGATGCTTGAGGGAACATAAGTCAAGGTAAGATTTATTTCTTTGTCCGGCGCAAATTGCAGCACACAACGTATATTTAGGTTCAAGAAAAGGGCTAAAAACGTGTTGGTGTGTTTGTTTGCTACGATTGGGCGCCTTTAGTTTCACCTGGCAAACTTAATGATCCCCCGTCTTTCGAAGAAAGCAGAGGACTACTAAAATGGGTATGTTTGTTTGTTCGTCCATCACACTTTTTAGGACACAATAACTCTGATTCTAATTGAGCTAGAATATCCAAACTTGGCGTAGGTGTTTATTAAACACGATGAAGTTTGAAAATTAGCATGTCCTGTTAGGGTAAGTAGACGATAAGGAATTTGATTGGTTGGGATTTCGATAACTTCGATTCTAACTGAGTGAGAGTGGAGAAACTTCGTGTATAGTTTCATTACGTCACTACCATGACTAAGTTCGATGATGAGCATTTTCTGCTTGGACTAAGTGGAGACTTTAATCAGATTCGTGGAGACTTTGGAACACAATAACTCTCCTTATTGAGGTGTGAGAGAGAGGGAGAGAGAGATAGAGATGGTGATGAACGTCCACTCGACAAAAACTAGCGTGGTTTCGATTTCCCGGTTGTTCGTGGGTTTTCCGGGTCCTCCACTTTTCTCCCACTGTTAAAAACCCCTACGCGCAAGCGGATTATTGAAATAAAATTGAACCATAGTAGTCCCGAAATTACCAAGTTTGTGTCGAGTGAACGTTAAACCCCATCTCTCTCTCTCTTTCTCTTCATTTTCCTGTGAGCAGTCAAATTATCTGAAATATCCGTATATTTCTATATATTTAGATTTAATAGAAATGGAAATGAAGTGTGATTTAACGTTGTATCCCGACTGGGCTAATGAAGACGGGCATACGCCATGCAGTGTGCTATGGGGGAAATTTTGCCTGGCCTACTCTTATATCGAATTCCAACTGCCAAGGGATCCTTTACACGCACGCCAATGTGCACATGGGACCTCGGTTTTTCGTCCCATCCGAACGACTCAGTTGCCTTGTCAGGCTCTCCGTTCTGCACCACTGGGAGGGGGAAACCACGCCGGAAAATCCCGAGGAACTTTCTCGGCCAACAACGGGATCGAACGCGCGACCTCCAGGCAAACCCTCTTATCCGCCGTGGCACCCTAGTCTAATAGATTTTAACAGTCTGTGATACAAGCTATATATAATAGATGCCATAATATAATACAATACATGTTATAATTATAAATATGTTAACGGTTGTTAATAATATATGATGTGTTAATATTCGTATTATGTTCATCTTTCAGTGAACGATAAGCTAGCTACAACATCATCGTTTGGTTCTTTCCATCGTATTCCGAAAGTACATATTTTTATTTCTTTTTTACAGAAGCATATATTTACACGTACATGTACCGCAGAAAGTTAAGAGAATAATGTCGATATTAAACGATCGAAAATGGCTTTGAAGGCTGCGATCACAACTGCTGACGAAGCTAATCATAAATTACAATCTTATGTTTCACACGTAAAATGATTACATTGGGTCAAAGTTCACATTATAAAGTGACCCTGAGATTATGTTGTATAATTACAGTCGACGACATAGACAGTAATGTTAGGCAAACAACTAAACATGTATGCCCGCGTCACACCGAGGTGGCGTCCTTACTACGCTGCTGCGGCGACCGTACGGCGACCAGAAAATACACAAGGTCGCCGGCAAACTTGAACACAACGCGAGAAAATGTCCAAAAAAAAAATGTCGCGTTCTCACAGCTTTCCAGACCAGATCGCAGAACCTTGACGTTTGCTTTGAACATGTGTGAAGGCTTTGCAAGGTTTTAATGACAAATGAAACTGTATTACCATATGAACAATTTCAGAGAGTTTCGAAACGAAATCTCAATAATTTCAGTAGGGTAAATCCTTACTTAAAGATACATTATGGGAGATTCGATAACGAGTTGGCAGTTCTCACTATAATAGTTAAAAGCTAGATAATGTAAAGGCAATTTGCTGAAAATTTCATTCAAATTGATCCTCTATGAACCGAGAACAAAGCGACTGAATTTCCGCCTAGCCTTGATCATCATTACTAAAGTCAGCACAATAAACAGCATAGTCTCGATTATCCATTTAATCGTTATATCGTGAAGGAAAGTTATGTAGTAAATCGGCTCACAATCCACTAAAGATCGCAGGCTAGCGGTGCCATCTAGAGTTGATTATGGTCTGGATAGGTTAATTAATGTCTAATTAATAATTTAGATAACATTTCAGGCCTAAAGAAAGACCTGCAATAGACATATTTAGCTCTTGCATAATGTATGTTTAATTAAACAATCCCAACAATTTAATAGCAAACGAAATGCACTTTCTTGAATTGCAGCACGGTACATGAGTAGTTGATCTGCGATTGCGGATTTTGATAGCGTTTATCATAACATTGTTGCCAGTTTGAAAAAAAAAAATTAATGACGGCAACAGACGACTGATATGAACAGTTACCATGATAAACGTATCAAATGCCTCTTTAAAGGAAGCATTAACGTTTTGAGTAAATCAATCAATATAATAGTCTAGAGATGAACCGATGCATCGACTTTTCTTTATAATAGTTAAAGTAGCTAAGTCTCTAACTCAATATCATCCAAAATCTTCAACATTGAAAACACGATTTATTTGTCAAATTAAATCAACATTCATGTTGTGATCTTACCGGAAAAAGATGGGCTTTTGATATCCAATATTTAAGACAAAATAAACATTTTACCATTGGTACACGAATCGTGTACCATAATGCGCTTCAGCCCCAGTTGTATCAAGAAACTCAAGGGACGAGACTAGACATATTGCACCAAATCAAACGGCGTATGTAGACTGGAATAACCAGACGCTAGAAATTTGCACTCCTTGAAACTGCTGGCTTATTTCGCCGAACATAACTGATTTGAAATTGGAGTAAAAACGGAAACCATTGAATGTAAATCAGTTTATATACATTCATATTACAGTATTATATGCGTTGCGACCCACTTTTGTCAATTTCTAGGTCCCAAATGTTAGCGATTTAGCTCCTTTAAATTACATTTACCATATTATATTCATACTGATTACCCAAACATTGAGTGCCACTTCTTTATGAAAATATTGTATTAAAGACTCGTGGTTCAGTGGGGTTCTCATCCATGCGATCTAAAGGTTAACGCTCCTTGACCAATGACATGGACCCGGTTGCTCAAAACTAAGTTATTTTAACGATCCGTTAAACTCTAACGGATGGTTATCTTGGTAACGTGTCGTTTGTTAACGATCCGTTAAATTTCTGTTGCTGGAAAGTCAATTTCATTATCCGTTAGCTAACGGATTCATTAAAGTTAATCCAAGAGAATACTGTTTGTTCATTGGCTGAATTTTAAATTCAATGTACATGTATAACAACTTCATAGAAGTTAGTATTAACAAGAAACTGAAGACAGCGAGACAACAGTGCAGTCTGTTCACAAAACTTGATTAAAGACAAAAACATAACTGTAGAATTTACTACAAAAAACACTATAAAAAAACTATAGAATACTTTATTTTTTCCTTTAGAAATTTTAGCATAAATGTGTAGGAAAAATTATGGGATTTGCACTACAGAATTATTTCCTACAGGCCACCAAAATTCTGTAAAATAGTATAGACTTTCACCCTATAGAAAATGGAATTGGCCCGCATCGCCCAACCCTCTAGAATGTTCTATAGAAAATTACATAGGTAATCTATGACTTTTTGCTACAGCCAACTAATGCCATCATTAAACAGATAAAGGAGCTCAACACCTCCGTTAAATATAACGCCAAGTTAACATCACGTTAAAGTTAACGGGGCTTCCAGCAACAACCTTTCTCTCCGTTAAAGTTAACGATCCGTTAACTCCATGTTAACGGATCGTTAAAAGATAACGGAGCATTGAGCAACCGGTCCCTGTACAAGATATATATGCTAGTGTTCTGATGTTCCTTTCTACTCAATGGCTACTTGAGAAAAATGTACTATGGTTGGATTTAAATATGGGTAATAAGACGTCTAGTGCATTAGACATGGTATGGTTGTACAATATCACTTGGGGGATTTTAAATACATTGGTTAGAGCCACTGGAGGCTAGTGACGTTATTCCTTCCATCCCTGGGTTGCAATGGATACTAAAAATGAATGTTTTTGAAATATTTCGACATTATTTAAATTTTACATGTATCTTTATAGAGCGCTTCCAGCAATATAGTGCTATAAAACCGGAAACTATATTATGATGAATTTATTCCGCCTGGGTGACCAATGCCTTTGTACACTGGTACAGCATATTAATTCAGGGGCTCGAGAATAGTGGCTGTGTTACGCTTGCCCTAGGATGACGGCAACAGCATCGAATGGTGTAGTGCAACAAATTCAATGAATTGGACAAGACAATTGCAATTCGACAACTTAATACATTTGACGTTCTACTCGTGATGTTTATTGTATCGACGATTGGTGATAAATTTGAAAAAATAAGGCGGGATTGTGTTCCATTTATCCATCAGCGAAAAGTAGAAACAGATGTAAATGAACAGGACCTTGTTGATAAGTATTTACTTTCGGTTTTGTTGGCAAACCTATTTCAAAGACACTATGATCTGATGGCCACACGCTTTTATTGTTTTACATGTCACGTAACATTAATAAATTTCTGTATGGAATACCCTTTAGGATTATGATACTATATTTTCTTATTGGACAATAATGAATTTTAACAAATAAGTTGCACTGGTAACACCTAAAATGCATTGTTACTAAATGTTAATACTTTTCTCGCTTTTTATTGAAAGCTACTATGTTATGATTGATAGTATATTTATATAACTTATTTATTGACTAATACAAACATTTACTTATTTGATTAATACTGTATAAATTGATTCCTCATCTTATTTAAAAAAATATAATGTATTTTATGTGTCAATAAAATATGTTTAAACGAAACTAAACGGTATTAAAGTGAACCAGCTAAATATATTCTGACGTTTTTTATATACTGCTGTGCAATTTGAGTTGTGCTAAGTTAAACGACTATTGATGCAAAGGTGTAGGGCGTTAAATCTCATTTTATTTCAATTGTAATACTATGATCTACTTAAAATATAAATAGATTGATGTACTTGGACAAATAGGTCAATTACTGGATGCTCGGGGTCTGACTATGTTGCAGATAAGATCTGGGGTCGAGTGTACTTGTTGATTAGACAATGCAAGGTCAAAGATCGTTGACCATACACTGTAACAAAAATTTCCGTGAAAAAACGTAAAACATTCCGGAAACAAAAATTACCAGGAAAATTTTATCCGTATTTGTTTTTCCTGTAATTTACAGAAATTCCCTCAATTAACAGAAATTCCATTTTCAAATACAGAAAAAAAACCCTGGTAAATTTTGTTTCCTGACGTTGATGAAGGTGATAAAAATTTCATTGAATTAACCATTGACTTTATATGCGTGCGTGAAATAGCTTTATTTAACGTCCGCTTCTACCGAAGTGATAACGCAGATAATCTTTAAACGTAACCTCCTTTTGCTAATATAAGAATCGAGAGCAAGGTATCACAAACCGCTACTCGTCAGTGATTGGAGGCTTTCAGATGTAAGTTTGCGGTATTATCAATTCGCAGGTAGACTCTGCCATAGAGACAAACCGAATTACACTGGCCAACCGGTTGCACTATCCGGATTTAAGCGTGCTTGATTACCAGATATTACAATCTTAACACACGCAGCATTAAAACATATTTTTATATATTTATGAAAAAACTTACAATCTGATTTCCGTATGATGAATCACAATACACTTTATAGATCTTATAAATAATGGAAATTAGATATACATGACAATTAATATACCAAACTTTACAAAATATGATTCTTCATATTATGGTAAATAAATTGAAATGAACATATAACATGATGATTATTAGGAATGATTATATATGTATACGATTACTTATCGTTGCACCGTTTATCCCGTAAAATAACAGACTTAAGTCCATTACAGAACGGAATAAAACATTTTATCCCTAAATTTCAAGGAACTTCCTTGTCATTCCACCGTTTATTCCGTAAAATAACAGAATTAAGTCCATTATAGAAGGGAATAAAACATTTTATCCCTAAATTTCACGGAAATTTCCTGTTTAATACTGAATATTCTACAGAAATACATAAAACACGTAATTTGAAGAAATAGTTCACACTATTAACACAATTTCTCCAAAAAATCCATCGATTAACAGAAAAAAGGTGTTAAATTACGGAATTCGGCCACATAAAAAATTGATATTTTTTACAGTGTAGGCACGGTACAGCTTAGCTAATCCAATGAAAAAGACGTTAATAACGTAAATAATTAGTTCTTTCAATTAAACGATACATATACTGGAGTATATCCCTTTAAATTTCCCAAGAGACCTTGCAGGTTTTGGCAAGATTATTATGTGGTTCTCACTAGGTTGCGAGAACACACGTTTATATTTACGGTTTTGGGATTGTACCATCAAACGGCTCTGACTTGAGGCCGAGTACAGTACGCCAACAGTATATTTGTTTTATCGCGAACAAGAATGGCACGACTTTAAAGTACATTTGACATCATTTCAGACAGTTTATAGAGTTTTGCTTTCGCAGCATTCAGAGTTTTCAAAACCAGTGAAATTATGTAGTGATGTTATAGAGATACATAAACGTTGATTTAGAACAATGTGGATTTTGAAACACAACGTAAGTTGGAGTATTGAAGTCAAAAGAAAGGGTCGTATTGTAATTCGTAACTAGACAGTGGTGGTATTTCACAGTCAATCGTTAGAATAGACAAACTTTGAGCACCAAGCTCTTCAGTTTCTGTTTGGAAACTGGTGACCAGTATAATATTTATAACTCTGTGATGGGGTGTTAGTGTAACACAAATGATATTGTCAAATCATGCACATCTGCTTCACCATAAATAATATGAACAAATATAAAGATATTTAACATCTCGCGTTATTCTACCTACCAATTGCTCCCAAATCAACTTCTTTAAAATGCTCTTACAATTATGATTTATCTAAAAACTATTGTTTTGTTTAGGCGGCCCACATTTTGCATTGCAATAGGTTTGATAATAAATTTTCAACGCAAGATTTGCTGAGAAGATCCTAGCGTGGTATCCCCCTTGTCAGTGATGCAGGACGGAGACCCCAGCAAGGAACATTATCTAGTCGCTCGTATGTGCACCTATAGAACCCTTGACAGGTGGAATTCAATGAAGAGTAGTCGGAAACGCCACTGTCCGGACTAAATGTCCTCATAGCACACTGTCCCGTCTCAATTAGCACGCTAGGTGCAGACATGTAGAACGTTCAGCCCCATTCCATTTCTCTCCATATATATAAAACTCTTAAGTAACTGTAAGAGCTAGCCCTTATATAAATGTTGTTTGTCGTTTAAAAACAATGAAATGATGGTAGCTCATATAAATTCACGGCTTACTATTATCGAGTATTATGATAAGTACACTAATCGTCTAGGCAGGATTTAAAAGTGTGTGGTAATACAATACAACAACATAATGTATAAGTCAGTAAAGATTTACAAAACATTCAAATACTGAAATTGTTACACCAGCAGTGATATTAGGACATGTGGTGTTCTTTGTGTTCTAACCTGCCACTTGGCGAGCTAATATTTAAACGTAGCGAGTGAAATAACGTATGCCACCGGCCGGCACTATGTATTGTTTAATGGTCGAGAGCAAGACATTAAATTGTAACAACAAGAGGGCCGTGAGGCCCGAGTGTTTTTACAATATATTACGCAATGTCTTAAGCCCGAGACCATTAAACAACTTAAAATACAGACACTTACACGTGCTTTGCAATGAAATACGTCACTCGGGTTCAATATTTTAACTAGTTACACTTGGCACATTGCCCGTGCGATTATTTATACTAGTGAAATATTGGACTCGTGTGACGTATTTCACTGTAAAAGCACGTGCGGAGTGTCTGTATTTTAAGTCGTTTAATGGTCTCGAGCTTAAGACATTGCCCGTCTTCATTAGCCCAGTTTAGGAGCAGAACAGTAGTACGTTAAACCCCATTTCATTTACTTAAGACATTGCGTAATATATTGTAAAAACACTCGGGCCTCTTTTTATTACAATATATTACTTAATGTTTCGCTCTCGACCATTAAACAATACTTACCGAAAAGTCAAGTAATGCAGAGAATGTATGCGTCGAATATCGTCATTCAAGTGTCTAACAGCTATCTGGGATCGCCCTTCTAGCAAAACCAGAACCATACTGAAGTCTAGTCAATTTGTTTTAATTAAAACCTTATAAACAAAGCTCAACAGGATTTAGTCTGAAAAATTATGGAATTTTCGTTTATTTAAAAGCATAAACGTACTCAGACAGTAGCAACCCTTTTAAACGATTAAAAGGGCTTGGTTACAGCTGTGGCGGTATCTTTAGTTGCGAGTACTAAATTATTGTGATAGATTTATGCCCTTGAAAGAGTGGAACTTTTTCAGATCAAATGACTCTTTGTATTTTTACAGACCCAAAGCCGATTTGGTATTACTGGTAGCTAGTTGCGTCTGCAATGCTCTAATCGTTGGGTATTCATATGCCATGGGAGTCTTGTTTCTGGAAATGAAGGAATCTTTACATTCCAGCAGAGCTGAAACGGCTATGGTCCAGTCCATTACTTTGGGTGTTATGTGTGGTGGTGGTAAGATTTAGATTATGTATACCCTTTACCGAATGTTCGGAATTAAGAAAAAAAACGGAGGGTCCAGCAAGGCAGAAATTTTGATAAAGGGGTTCATTTTGGTGCATTCTAAGGTATATTCTGGGCAGGTAACACAATTAAAATAAAAAAATAAATATTGATGATCAGAAAATAGGTTTTAAACTTCAATCAATGTACAAATCCAAGTCAGTCCTTATAAAGGCAGTCAACAATGCCAAAATATATGAGAAATCTGCATCCAAATTAAAGTCAAATAATGATTCCCGTTCATTGTCAGAGTGTAACAGGAAATCAAATTTCAGAATGAAGTTCAGAAGCTATTATATCCGTATTAATGTATGAATGATCTCACATTTCCTGACGAACCGGTGGCACTATAAATTTATAGTAAAAATTACATATGGCTATGGAGCCTTTACTGGTGTAAACGGAGCCTTATCGAATGCATTAGCCATAAAGTAACCGAATGAGAGCACAGAGAATCAACGTTCATATTTTATTATATGGAACGTTTGATCTTGTACTCACCTCAAAATGTCCCCCATATCACCCCCACCAGCAATAGTAGTAGGTCCCGGCACATTTACCCCACGTTGCCCGCTAGATCCGGTACTGAGTTTACATATCTTTCTGGCAATTTTTTATTATATGGAACGTTTGATCTTGTACTCACCACAAAATGTCCCCCATACCACCCCCTCCCCCGCCCGTAGCAATAGTAGTAGGTCCCGGCACATTTACCCCACTTTGCCCGATAGATCCGGTACTGAGTTTACATATCTTTCTGGCAAAATTATGTTCCATTTAAATACTTTAAATGACTACCCGGGGCCCTGCTTTCGTGAATCTGTGATTTGTGTGTTAAGCTGTGGTTGGTAAGACATAGAGGGAAATGAGGTTTTAATGTCCACTCATTGGCGTTAGAGGCATCCGGAAAGGGGAGGGGGGCAATCTGACCTTTCGGGCATACGGGTAAAGTGAAAACAAAAATTATTATTTCTTCTAGTTTTCTTTTAATTAAATACCACGAATTTGTAGTGAATTGACTAACAGATTAAAACGTTTTGACATTCTCTCTGAAGCCGCTCTACTTTGTGCGACATTATTATTGTCATCGATTATCATTTCAGGTTCTGTAAATGATTGATTGACTAATTAGAATTCGAGTCAGCCGTCTAAGTGAGGCTATATTAGACCACTTTGAAGTTGCTGTATTCACTGGCTGTAATAGCAGGAAAATTCGTTTGCGACCATTAAATTTTTGGGGGAGTGTGTGTGTGTGGGGGGGGGGGCTACTCGGTAAGCCACGCTCCTTCGTCTCTCGCAGACGACCGGCACCGCCTGCCTTATGTAATCCGAAATTTTTTCGGCGGCATTTCAGATTCTGCCCCTCCCCACCTAACATTCATCGAGCCCGTTCGCTTATGCATCACGGGAACATTTTATATGTAAATATATCTGATATTTCAAGATTTATCTTGGTAGGGGGACACCGGTGAAACACCATCCATATTATGAGAGAGAGAGAAATGGGGTTTAACGTCCACTCGACACAGACTAGGTCATTTCGGGACTAATCCATATTACGACATAATATTATTATTGGCATACTTATTCAACAAGGAGGGGAGTTTCTGTAATATATATTTCATTTTCACACATGTGACGGCGTTAAGGAGAATAAAAGGTCTGATTATTCATTTTGTTCGTGAAAACCAGTGAGATGTTACAATATAAATAGTAAATGTTAATACAACTGTCTTAATGATAGGTTCCCACTATCATGATTCGCACCAGGGAAACGTCTTTGCTGCCGTCAAATTGTGTTGTTGGGGCGGGGGTTACTCGGTAAGCTATGCTCCTTCACCTCTCGCAGACGTCGGGCACCCCAGGTTCTGCCCCCCCCCCCCAACATTCATCGAGCCCGTACAACTATGTGTCCACTCGATATAGACTAGGTCATTTCGAGATTAACATGGTTCAATTTTATTTCAATAATTCGCTTGTACCTAAAGAGCCAAAAAGCTATGACCATATACATTTTGATCATTTTATGGACATGTGTTCATCTATTTCAGGCCTTATATCTGCATTTATATCCAGTATGATTGGCAATGGCAACACTTTGTTACTGGGATCTCTGGTTGCCTGTTTAGCTATAGCCTGCGGATTCTTTGTTATCAGCATCCTTGTCCTTATTTTAGTTGTTGGGGTGATAGGAGGTTCGTGATATCTTGCGATAATAGCAACATTCTAATCTGGTGTATTCAGTTCAATACTGACTTTTCACATAAACTATGAAAACTAATTGGTTTTCGAGGTATCGGGAAATATATAAAACCGCGAATTTTGAAGTTGTATGTTTACCTCAATTATAGGGCTATCTAAATCACCCATCACAGTAAACTGGTTCTCACTACGTTCTGGAAAATCTTTTCAAACGGGCTCATATTGTGTGTGGGCTGAGTGACGTAGTTGCAACTGTGAATCTGTTTAAGACTGTCATGGGCGGGCTAGGACTGGACTGGACTGGACGGAAAGGGTGCTCTAGAACTTTGAGTCTGCTCAAGATTTCTGCAATTAGACAGAGTGACAGCGTACTTAAAACGAGATGACGTACTACTGTCGGAATTGCCGTACTTCGATCCTACTAGGAACGTGTTACAACATGGCGTTGTCGAGCATCATTTGGCAGTACGACCTGGTCAGTTTGTGAATATCTACAGGGTTCAGGCACAGGCTCAGCAACTTGAGTCTCTGTTACCTCGAGTTGCTTAACCTTAAATTGTAGATACATTCGGGGTTAGAAAGTGGACATCTAGCATACAGTCTGTAATTCTTGTCTTTAATCAACTGGTATATAATTAGTTACCAATACTATTCTATTCGCGATAAATGTCAAAACCCTAGTGAATTTATGATTGGTTTCAAATGTATTTTTTGTATTTTCAGGGTTTGGTCTGTGTAATGTATTTGTCAGTATGTTTATAGCCGTGGGACAAGTGTTTAAGGACGATTACAAACTGGCACTTGCAGCATTGAACTTGAGTGGTGGAATAGCCTACTTTATATTCCCATATCTCAACGTTCTAATGATGCAAAGCTATGGATGGAGAGGTGAAATGCTTATTCACGTTGGATTATTAGCGAACTGTATTCCATTAGGATTATATATAAGAATTCGTTTACCAAACGAACGGGTTATGCCTTCGTCAAGAAAGCATTTTTTCAGTAATACCTACTTCCAATCACATGTGACTTTATGGAAGGATCCACTATATGTGACATTTTTTATTTGCCTGATTCTAAGATCTGTGCCCCTTGGATTAGTAACTTATTTTATGTTGGATATAGCTGTTTATAAAGACTTTAATGAAGTTGATGGCTCTTTGTTTTTATCCGGTGTCGGTTTTGGAAATATCATAGGAAGGGTGATAATTCTTTTAACTCGATCACTAATTAGACTATCCCCGGTTAAAGAGTATTGTATTTATTGCATTTTCACTGGAGTTATGCTAATCTTTCTTGGGCTTGGTACACAATATTGGTTAATAATGGCGTTTTCGGCAGCGTTTGGCCTAGGTTACGGGATGCTGTCTTCTACAGCGAATATTGCAGTATTTGCAATATCAGGGGAACATCGATACCCAACAGCATTAGGTATTTTTAACACAGGGATTGGTGTAGGCTTTGGGGTAGCAGGTCCAATAGGAGGTGAGTGTCACAGTTTCTGAATTGCATTTATTCTTGATTCAAGAATATTGGGTTTCTATTTTCAAGGAAAACAGGAAAGATAAGCAGCCCATCCGGAAGATTTCTACAGATTGTAATTCATATTAATACGGATTGCGATTATTTTTTTCATTTCTTAAACATACATTATGCAAGAGCTAAATCGGCCTGAAATGTTATCTACATTATGAATTAGACATTAACTTATCAAGACCATAATTAACCCTCGATGTCATCGCTAGCCTGCGATATTTACTGGATTAGGATCCGATTTGCTGCCCAACTTTCATTCATGATTAAATCATGAAGTGGATAATCGAGACTATGTTTTTTACCGTGCCAGCTTTAGTAATGATCGAGGCTAGGCCCAAAATTCAATCGCTAAATTCTCAGTTCAGGGTGGATCAATTTGACTGAAATTTTCAGCAAATTACCTTTACATTATCTAGTTTTTAACTATTATAGCGAGAACTACCAGCTCTTTATCTAATCTTCCATAATGTATCTATCAAAATATATTGATTTATAGGGTTTCCTTTTGAAAATCTGAAAATGACCCAACACCAGTCTCAAAATTTATCATTTGATCTGCATCAAATATTCGACTCGAACGTTATAATCAGCACTGGTGTTACCGCTAGTGGGTACAACATTATTGATAACCGAAAGCATCTTCAAAAGGAAAACTGATAGTGTGCTAGATGCTGCGATAAGGGCCGCCTTGGCCAGGACATGTGTAAGGAATCTGGGGCATAAAGGGTCAGGGCAGTGTTACAAATTGATTTTTACCTGTATGCTACCTGCTCACTCTCAAATAGTATCAAGAGTGTGTGACATTTACCGCTTTTCAGCAGTGGGCATTTATCCTACTTCTAAATATACTAAAAATGCCCTACGCGTTTCCTTGGAAAACTATAAATCATACGTGGTAACTTTAACAATACTTACAAAATACAAAGCAGAAAGTGTATCCTTTCAGAAACAAGATGAGCTGACCTTTAATGTTGCATCCCAATGCCAAATTAAATTCACATTTTAATAACATGCAGCTTTTTTTCTCTTTTAAACAGGTGTTATTAAAGATAACGTGGAATCCTATGACAATATTCTTTACGGATTTTCTGTTATTAGTATTTTAAGCGGACTTTTTTTATTACTTGTGTCTTGTTTGTGTGGCCAAAAACGTTCAGAATTACCTGTTGAAGAAGACACCTGATTCTAATAAACTTTTTATTTGTTATATTTTACTTGTGTCTTGTTTGTGTGGCCAAAAATGTTCAGAATTACCTGTTGAAGAAGACACCTAATTCTAATAAACTTTTTATTTGTTATATTTTAAAATAAATGCCTTAAAAATTGTGAATTATTTTTTTTATTATGCTGATAGCCTTTGCAGCGATTAAAGCAGATAATCGTGTGTGAACTAATGATATAGCTAATATCAACAGGAAATGGATTGATCGCTTTTGCACGATTTTCGTTGTTGGTATTAAAGGAGCTAAATATTTATTTTTTGGAAACTAGCTAGTCTGTGCCGAGTGGACGTTAAACCCCATTTTTCTCTCTCTCCCTCTCCTATGAATGGTGAGAAAATAACTATGGTCTGTAGTACAATATTCGAGCAATAATTCTAATGTTACTTCCCTTTAACTGTGCGTTTATTTATGGATTTGGTTAAAATGGGATATATAATTCATAGTGTGGCAATAAAAATCAATGGCTTTTTAAAGTAAAATAGGAGCTATTTTCTGGAATACTCATTTATACGTCAGATGTGGATTCGGTCCCGGTATTTGCTGAGAAAGTGCCTCGGGATTTTCCGGCGAGGTTTGCCCTTGTCAGGGGAGCAGAACCCGCTTTCCATGTCCGCGTTCCTTCGGACAAAAAGGTCGGTCTAATGCGAATGTAATGGGGCCGTTTCCACGTAAGCGCGGGAAAAATAATTGCTCGATGCTGGCGTTTCTTCGCACGTGAAGTGTGCGAATGTTTTCACTCTGACGCACATAAACGGGTTCTCTTCTACTAAGTCAATCAAGCCCTCTTGATGCTGCTAATTCAGATTGTAAATGGCAGAACTTTTGGACATTGTGTTATTATAAACAGCGACGACTGAGCGTAATCCATGCCGGGTTCCATGCTGTATAGAGAAATCCTCACTTATGTCGTCATTTACATGGGATGCCCCAAACTCTTTAGTGATTTTTCTGTACACGTGAAAATACAAAAAAATCCAGCGCGGATACGCTGCGTTTTTCCGCTGCGGGCAGTGAGCTTAGGCTTTAGAGATTTGAACACATCTTCAGTTATAATTTAACATTCGCTGTATCTGTGAACCTATGTCAGCTTCTAACCATTTCACAAAACAAATAAACTTTAAATCACAGTGCAGTTGTCAATGTGACCACAAAGGTGATCTTGCTGGTGTCTCGTTTAGTCGCATGGCAACTAAGTTTCTAACTGTGCCTGTAATTCAAATTAATGGTTTTGGATTGGCTTGTAAATGATAATGAATAATTCGTAGAGTGGTTCGTGCTCTAAAATTTTTACAACAAACTGACAATATCTCGGGCTTATTTCAACATTATATTATAAGACTTACCATAAAAACTTCATTCATCAACAATGGAAGTCTGCCCACGTTTGATTTTTAAGGATATAACAATTTGGGAATTGTTTTATAAATGACTCAAAATTCTGACCAGGTCCCACAATCAACCGACGACCCTGTAACGAATATATATATATATATATATATATATATATATATGTTTATTTCCTTGGTACGAAGTAACTGAATACACTCAATGAAACGATTGAATTTAACACATGCGCAAACGCTTAGGTGTTTAACAATACACCCACGCCTTCAAACGTCTTAATATTAACTGTCTTTATCACAGTCGGAAAACATCGTTTATTTCCTTGGTACGAAGTAACTGAATCCAATCAATGAAACGATTGAATTTAACACATGCGCAAATGCTTAGTATAATAGCCTAATATTAAAATGAATATTGCTTTAATTTCTGTAATACAGAGGGAGAGAGAAACCTATAAATCTAATAATTTAACACTTTATTTTAGTCCCATAGATAAATAAATATATTGTGCAGTATGATGTTTGTTATGAAAAAAATCCCACATTGCCGGGTAAATTACGGGGGAAATATTACAAAAGTACAATAGAGATCGAGCTTCAGGGGGATTTGATGGTGATTTTAATTTGAAATCGGTGTAGTGGGAAGTGGTAAATTTTAATTTCGAAAATAACTGATTTACTAAACAGTTCAGGAATTTCGTCCAGATCTTCCAAAATTTCGCGTAATGCTGTTAATGTAGTTTGCGCATGTGCAGTTTTATCAACCATTGCACGAAGAGCAAGAATTAGTTGCGTATATGTCGAGTCTGCGGTTATTGCATATGAGCCGAATTTAGAACCAAATTTTGTATATAACGTGGTATTTTCCGCTGACATTAAGGTTTCCGAAGCATGTTTTAAAGATACACCGACGTGCTCACATGATATTCTTTGCACGGTAATTTTTGATGGGGTATAATTGGATTTTACTTCCGCGACAGCCAAACATGCGGTTATAACCGCGGTTACGTTATCATTCGAAACGTTTAGGTTTTTTTTAAGTTCCATGACCTAATAATGGCATTCTGGGGTGTATCTTTGATTTTCGACATCATAATAAATTAGTTCGTTCATCTTAAAAGGTTTGGACTTGCAACCAGTGTTTTTACTTGATTTTTTTTTTTCATTATTAGCCTTCATGCCAATAATTTCTTTTCCAGTCTTCCAAATTCGATCTTTTAAATCAGTCAATACCGCGTCGGCAGATGTCTGAGTCTCTATATTTATTACATCAATTCTGCCGATGGAGTCTCGTCCACTATTCCATGGAAAAAATGGGAGTTTCAAGAAAATCGCCGTATGATTTTATAGATTTATTGGACCTAGCCTCAATTTTACCAAACCTCCAAGTGTTTTGTTTTTAGTCTGACCAGTCTATTTTGGATGTCTTTGTCACCATACGTCACACATTCGTCATGTAAAGCAGTTATGCCTAGTAGTTTGGTTACAGTGCTCAAATCATTCTTGTCCATTTCAATGCTGGATAGCAAATCATCGGTGGATGCCATCTTGCAGGGCTCAGTCTCAGATCTAGAAAAGAAAGTCCGTCGGTGAACGCTTAAGGCCATCAAATATGAGATACTATGAACATAATCTACACCAAGTTACCGAAAAGTGTCTGGAAAAGACTACAAATAAAAATTTTGTTTCGGTTATTTTCCGGTCTCAAATAGTTCTGCGTATTTAGAGCTAGCAAGTATTTATTTCCTAAACTCACGAGAGCGGCACGTAAACGAAGGTAGAAACCACTAAATAAAAGTAAATCTCAAAGTATTGTAATGAGTTTATCTTGCCGCGCTCATGAGTTTGGAAGTTAGAAATGAAACGAAGCTTTTACATTTACAGCTAGCTCTGTGCCAAAATCAAACATTAAATTAACAAGTCCAATCGAATTTTTGCTCAGGCTCGCTATTAAATAACCACAAAAGTCGAAGGGCGTAAAGAGTGTATTTTTTATTCGGCTTTATATACCAATACATGTTCGTGGAAAGCTATTTGTTACGTATATTTACTGCGACCCCCGAATCCACGTACGCGGGATAAAGCTTTGCTCACTTTAGGGGGGGGGGGGGGGTCGGGTGTTCGATCCCTGCATTGGCCGAGAAAGTTCATTCAGATTTTCCGGCGTGGTTTCCCCTTGTCAGTGATGCAGGATGGAGGGCCTGACAAGGACAGCTGTCTAGTCGTTCGGATGGGACGAAAAACCGAGGTCCCGTGTACACATTGGCGTGCACGTAAAAGATCCCCTGGGAGTTGGAATTCGATATAAGAGTAGGCGATAGTGCCGCTGCCCGGGCAAAATTTCCCTCATAGCACACTGTATGGCGTATGCCCGTCTTCATTAGCCCAGGTTAGGAGCAGAACAGTAGGACGTTAAACCCCATTTCATTTGCTCACATCAGAAAATGTCCTCGGTGATGCAGTATGGCAGATAAGTGTGTCAGTTTTTATAATTATAGTATGGATTCCCATTGTGGCCATTTTGTAGTTGAGACGTTATAAGGGCGAGGGAGTGCAGCAACAAGATGTAAAGGAACGACGCCGAGGGCAAGAGGGATTTTAATTTTTCTAAAGTATGAATTATTCAATGTGTACATTGCTATAGAATCACTCATTCTTTGTTCGTACAATTGCACCGTTGTTTTGGAACAAATTATCAATTCAAATTCGTAATGTCACTGTTATGACATCTTTAAAACTAAACAAAAACGTATCTATTGAAGCAGAATTTTACCAAGTGATACTTTTAATATGTAGATTATCCAGAGCTATTCTAATTACTTGTTATTTATAACCACTGCACCAGTTCAATGTATATAAATCTTTAATAAAGAAAGCAAGGAAGTATTTGTGATATGGGAGCCACGGTGGCTAGGTGGGTAAGGCGCTGGCTCGCTAGCCTGGAGGTCGGGCGTTCGATCCCTGCATTAGCCGAGAAAGTTCATCCCGATTTTCCGACGTGGTTTCCCCTTGTCAGTGATGCAGGATGGAGGGCCTGACAAGGACAACTGTCTAGTCCTTCGGATGAGACGAAAAACCGAGGTCCCGTGTAAACATTGGAATGCACGTAAAAGATCCCTTGGCAGTTGGAATTCGATATAAGAGTAGAGGATAGTGCTGCTGCCCGGGCAAAATTTCCCTCATAGCACACTGTATGGCGTATGCCCGTCTTCATTAGCCCAGTATAGGAGCAGAATAGTAGGACGTTGAACCCCATTTCATTTCATTTCATATTTGTGATAGAAGAACCAATTTATATACATAATTGGCAAAATATGTGCGCCAAAAATTAAATGTAATATCGCCAAGTTAAAAATACTGTTATCGTGTTATTGTTCACTTAATAATATGATCCCCCCCCCCCCACACACACACCCACACACAAACACACACACACACACACGCACCCCCCCCCCCCCCCCGGGCCGCTCAGCTACATAAATAAAAAATGCTTCTACCCAATCTGGACAGTAAAGTCATATACAATAGCATTGTTACATGATCACTGACCCCCTCCCCCACCCAACCCCACCCCCAAAAAAACAAAAAAAAAACAACATACATTGTCTCAGAAACCTGGCAAAACCCACTTCTGCAAATATTCCTGGATCCTTTGCCCTCAGACTTAAAGTTGTCTTTAATTTATGTTTAATCGACTCAAGAGTTATTGTCTGTCCACAATTTACTTCGAGTTTCCCAAAGTTTTAAATTTGCATGACTTGTTT